ACAGCCTATTGACCTGAAATGGCAGACAGAAAAAGCCTATAAAAGGTTGAGAGTTGAAATTAGAGCTTATGATACCTTCCAACTACAACGGCTAAGTCACCTCTGATAGTTCCGGGTTCCGATTTTTGTGGATCTGTTGCACCAATAAGCTTTCGACCATATTTTATTACTCCTTCACCTTCCCAAACCTACAAGAATAACAATATGTGTGCTCAAAACATATTTTATTCTCCCAAGCCTAGTGTGTTGATTGCGGATCGAATTGGAAATCTGAGAAGATTTCTAACCATTGCAACAACAGGGCCAGAGCTAAGGAAGTCACATAAGCCACTAAAGAAAGGTCTTTCCTTGAGATCATGATAATGCTTCTCAGCGAACTCCTTGGAAGGTATCAAAACCTTTATTGCAACTAGCTTGTATCCTTTCCGCTCAAAACGGGATATTATCTCTGCAATCTGATACCGAAACTCTATTAGACTCTCTAGAAGATTCACTGAAGAGTCATGTCGAACTGGAAATAAGTTTCTTAGGCACTTTTCAGAGGAGAAAAAGCACTGTATGGATGCTGAAAGAAACAAGAAAGCCGCAAAAGTATCATACCAGGCCTCTTTGCACTCCATCGGGTTTGATTGCTATAAAGGTCCGCTCCATCTTGAAATATAAAAAATATCATCATCAGCCAATACGTCAAAATGTAATCGAGAGACAACATGCTCCTGAGAATAGGAAAAAATAGCTACCTCAGCGGCATATGCTTCTTGCTCCTGGAGCATGTAAGCTGATAAAGAAATGCAGCATAAGAGATGAGTGTTAAATTTTGAGCTGTGGTAAAAATTCAAATAATAAAAACTTCATTTAGACTTGGACCTTTATACGAAATCATCAATCTATTAAGGGGAAGAGCCTAGGCTCCAGTGCCATATATATCATTGGTTTTTCAACTTGTTCGGTACTTTGGAGTAAGATGTTTTAACATTTAATGAACCTAAAGAAATATTAGCTCGTTGTGGGCATCCATGGAAATGCTTTTAAGATTGTGAATTTGACAACTTACAATAATTATATCGGTGTGCTTCATGTTAGGATATGATGAAGCTTTAATGGGGATAAGGCTCGGTTATTATTGTTGGAAACTGGTCAAATTTGATTGTACAAGTGAATGTGAATACCATTATAGTATTATACCACTGATATAATCAAACTATCTTTCTTCTTCCATTTCCTTCAGAAAATTTTTTATACTGTGGGGGTGGGGGGTCATTAAAGCATATTTTTAGGATAACTAAATTAAAGCATTGCAGATTGACGGCTGAAATACTGAATATTAGGCAATGTGAAGCCCAGAGAGAAATTATTTTAAAAGAGCTTCATTTTAAGATCAAGCACACAAGCAAACAAATTGTGAACAAAACTGACCTGCTACAGGAAGAGCAACAAGCCCTGAAATCCAAGATCTAGAGGCATCTGAAGATCCTTCCCTGCCATATAAGGCAAGAGAAGGCAAATTTCCTCTGAGAGAAACTGCTGTAGCTGCTGCAGCCGCTCGCCCGCCTGCAGCCATCATGTATCAGAACAACATGTAAAACATCTGTATTTCCTTTCTGATTCATATATATTTATAAAGTACAAGAACAAGTAAAAGATTCATTTTATTCACTAAAGAGAAAAACATTTTATTGTATCCAAACAACAAGATCAACCTACAGATGAATACAGCAGTTAAGGAAAATCTCTCGAGAAAAACCAAGTATGATCACAACAACTGACAGATCAAGGACATGTATCATCTCCAATATAATACGGAGTACTAGTCGTACGTCCATCGATAAAAACAATATCAAATCCGACAATCCCCACCAAACTACCTTACACCATGCATTTGTAAACAGAGATTCCTCAATAGAAACTTGAAGTACAATTTGAATTCAGGTGAAATGAAACGAGAGAATTACCGGAAATGGAGCGAGAGCTCTGCTTGGAAAAAGAAGAGAGAAGAGACCTGGCAGCTCGCGAAGCAGCAGATCTGCAAATCTGTGAGCTCATCTTCTAGAGCTTTGGATGTAGCAAAATGATGCGATCTCTGGATGCTTCAGCTAGGTACAGAGACAGCTGGGAATGGCAGCGAAAGAGCAGGCAAGGCAGATGCTTAAATGGTGATTACGCTTAAGGGGGTGACGTCGCCAGTCACAGTGAGCTCCTAAAAGCATGGAACGTATCGAATTCGTTCGTAAAAAAGGCTTACGTTTTCCAACAAAACGTGACTCACGGCCAGTCACACAAAAACATATTGTTTGGTTTCTTTGCTCTTTTTAATCGATCAAAAGTTTCTGTAAAAAAAGAGTATTTGTACACCAAATTTACATATTTTCCACACATTGTACGGAATTGTTAATGCACATGGACAATGTTGTATGTGTTGTCTTTACACAAACATCTAAAGAGTATAAACAAATAATTACGTACAAATGTCTACGAAATGTGTACAATTTTATATACAAAAAGAATCGTTGAAAGTTTTTCACTCTCTAAAAAATAGTTTCTGTTAAAAGTATTGTCCCACCCTGGAAAACTATAAAACAAACATTATATAAGAGTCAGGTTGACCTTTTAGGAGGAAACCTCGATCCCCATGTCTTAACATGATATCAGAGTCAGGTCCAATTATGGTTTGATTGATTGTTTAGCACCCATAATTAAGGGCAACTTATTAAGGGTCCATTTGGCCCATTTATACACTCTGATATTGTTCAGTCCGGTTCATACTGAGAGAGCGTGTTAAAAGTATTTGTCTTAAACAGGAAAGCTATAAATGGTTCAGACTAAGAGGACGTGTTACAAGTATTTGTCCTACACAAGAAAGCTATAAAACAACATATATGTATATAAGGCTTTGGACTATTACTCTATAGACCTCTTAGGATGAAATTCTGAGTCTTAACAGTTTCCATGTTTCCACAGTTGCCGGAGCTATGGTTGTTGAGCACTTGAGCCCAGTAACTTGAGCTTGGGCTTCTTCAAAGATTTATGGCATCTCCTGAATTGTGGTTTTCCACCTCACAAATGCACTTCTTCAATTCATGGAAGTGTCTTCTTTGGTGGAAAAAAAAGAAAGGTGAAGCTGATTTACCAAATACTCCGTAATAAAGTAGAAGATGTTCTAGCACAAGGTCTCTGGCTGGACCTTAGTTACAACCTTATAAAGAGAAAGTGATGAGCCTGTGTGCACGCAGAATCACTTGTTTGCTTTACTCATATTTTTATTTTTGCTTTTTATTTACTTTCTTGTTCTGCAGTGGAGGGGTATGCAATAGACCCTCTTTATTGTAATATTAATTGAACTCACTTTTTACATAGATCATGTCTAAACTTTGTCACTTAACCTACAATAGACTAATAACATCGGAGATACTTTTAGAAAGCATAATACCCAGACCCAACTGGACAATCATTTGTTTAGGACAAGATAGTTTGTTCTTTGACAACTTTCCAAAAAAAATATGATATAAATGAGCAAAACGAGATTGGCGTTTTTAGTTACAAGAGGTGCTTTTTAACCCCCACATTACTATAATGGAGTATTTGCAAAAAAATGAAAAAAAAATGTTTTCAACTTTTGACTTTAAAAAGGTGAATTTGATGTTTTTAAGTGACAACTTTTGAAGCAAGTTGAAGGGTGTTTTAAAGTGCTTTTCACTTTTTCTATTACACAAAAATACTTGTCAAACACCGTCAAATTTTACTTTTTCACAAGCATTTTTCTTAAACATTACTAACTTTTACTATTAAACATTTTTTCCAAACTCACTTTAAACAATCACTTTCTTAAAGTAGAAACAATCGCAAACACTTCCTAAGTGTGCTCGTTTTTCCTTTCCTATTTATTTCTATTTAGCTGAGGCTCAAATTCCTCTCGATGAGGACTTTAAGAATCGACCCTTTTAGTTGAGCTCTATGAATCATGATTCAAGATCTTTAAGAGTTGGTGGGATTCCTAGAGGTCAAGTTACCCAATTCCAAGAAGATACAATCAGTCTTCAAGTGTTACGGAGTATTTCCTTATCTTATTTTCTATCCTCGCTTCCAGGCTCCAGCTACAATGATGACCCAAAGCCATAGTTGTGGACTTTGTGGTATCCACATATGTTACCAGGGGCGGAGCCGGAAAAACGGCTTAGGGTCGAAAATCAACCATGCACAAAATGAAAATGGTAAATCGTTTTTAGACAATATCTGAGTTGAATGTTTCATTTATAGTTTAGATGGTGCCTCGTGGCAATAAGATAGATAAGTTTTGCCATGTTTCTGAATCATGTCACGTAAGTAATGAGTTAATTATCCGTTATTTTTTAAATTTTGGAAAATAATCAATATTACACATTAAATTTTGATTATTTTACGTTTAGATAGTGTTGATTTTCCAGAAGTCATAACTCTTTTACTCGTAATGAGTTACGGGGCTATAATATATCAAATCAAAGAAATTTCAGAGTTCTATACTTTGAAACTTTCAGCGGGGTCGGCTGACCACCCTGACCCCCCTTGGCCCCGCCCCTGTATGTTAACCGTGAACAGTCACAGTCAAACACTTGGCTTGTTGTAACGTTTGGAGTGCAAGAAAATAAGTCAAATAATTTCTTTTTTTTTTTGTCTCAAAAACTTTATTATTATATCTTTAGTATAATTAATTTTAATTTTTACTTTCTTATTTCAAAATTGACAATTCCCAAACGAAGGAAGAGAGCACTCAATGAAGAACACTTCCTTTTTTAAATACAACCACTTAAATTCTCCAAATTAAACACCTCTAGTTCCTTAATTTCCAATTAATCTACTTATATTCTCCAAATAATGTTAGATCAATTACAAACACAAATTTTCCACATGATTTATCTAGATAAAAGACAAATTTGTCTAACGCTATTGCTACTGGGGGTTGTGTATGTAGGAAAAAAATGAGTACGTATTATAAAACAGACATGTTTTATATAGTTTAAATACATTATGAACATGATAACTTTTATTAATACTCTTCATTTCCACATGATGATGACACATGAGTCTTCGAATTTGTGCAGAACATCTCCTTACAATTTACAATTACTCCGGATTTATAATTAACACGATTGTAAATTATTATAGGCCCAACTAATATGCATACACCATATAGTACTAACATGTAACAAAGCTTGGTAAAGAGCATGCCTCTCCAATCACAAAGACATTATAGAACAAAAGTTTGTTTACCCTCAAGTTGTCATATTTATCAATGTGGAGATTTTTCTAACTAGGAAACAAGTCGATTGAACACTGTACACTGTACATACCATCACCATCACCCCCAATTGCTAATTTTCTCAGTCTGATTTCCCGGAACCGACGTTACAAAGCTATGTCAATCTAGTAGTTTACCACGTGCACTTAAGTATGTATGGAAAGTCCAAACCTATGCACACTCATTCCCTTGAGGAGAGACGTTTAAAGGTTTAAAGTTTAAAGTCTGAGAAGAGTCCATCTCTGCTTTCGGAGGCGATGATTTTGAGCCCAACTTACAGTCAGCCTGTAATGATTCCAACCATGTATCAACCTGAAGAAATGAGGTTAAGCAGCTGTGACATTGAAAACTTTTACACCTCGATTATTCAGTAAGTCATTGGAATAGAGATGAAATGAGGGAGAATACCTGTACTCTGGATGCACTAGAGCATTCATATCGCAATCCTTGACGAGTTAAAATATAAAAGCCATGCCGAGCTTCCTCATTTTCTCGCACAAGACAAGCCAGTGGACCTACTTCGACCACATCTAACAGCAAAGTGGAATCCTGAGGACTCATATCTGCAAAAACAATTGTCAACGGATGGAATGCACATAGGACAAAGTAACAAGAGAAACATTAGTTCCCTTACCCGTAGAACACATATAGATATAAAAACATGATCCGTGAAGGACAATGAATCTTGGAACCCAGTCATCAACTTCAGCATCATCAATGGGAGGAAGTTCGCCGGGTAATGCTGCCCATCTCTGTCGAAAAGAACACCAATTAGGTATGTAAAACACAAAACATAGACTTGAATCAATTCGGCGTAATAGGAAGAGTACCTGAAGTGTATATATATTTGACTGATGTTTGACGTAGCATAATGGGAAATGAGTGATGGAAGAGGAGAGTAACTTACCATTCTAATATAAAGATATCCACAGAGACGAGCCGATCGTAGAATTTCATCAACATGTTCTAATCTGTACGCAACAAAACTATTAGCTTTGATCACATATATCTTCGCAAGAGAATTTACTACAAGTTAGTTTAATAAGACTTACTGGTTATCCTATGATAGCCCAAAGCCTTATATATTAGTTTTGAATTTCATAATTAGTTGAGGCGAAACAAATTTTCAACATAGTAAAGATAAAAATTAGGAAAAAATCACGAAAAAGTTTAGAAGACCATTACAAAGGTTCTACTTACTGAGCTTTCAGATGTGATTCTCTTTCTTCTAAATCATTAATTTCAGATCGCAGAGATGCGACCTCTGCTGCACTTAAAACCACCTGTGTTTGATAACAATAATAAATTATAATATCATTAAAACTAAAAATGCAATATCACAGTTATGGTGCAGTAGTGCATAACAATGCAATAGGCAATATAATTAACCTTTTCCTGTCCATCAGTGTCTGCAACCCAGGGTAGTCTTCGCAGGCTTAGTAACTTCAGCATTGATAATGTGCTCTTTAACTTACTTTTGGTCCACGACCCGCTGCACGATCTATCCCAATAAAAGGCGCAAAACTTATGTTGTAGAATGGCATAGATTTGCGAAGGAAAGTTCTTTTTACAATACACAGAATAGTACATACCTAAAAGACTTGTTGTAACTACTATTCCTCAAAGGGGTAAAAAGAGTTGGGCTTTCAGGATAGTCAACACCTGATGTTGAAGCTTGAAAATGGTCCTGGAACACTTTTATTCCAGTAGGACCATCACCCATGCGGCTAATCCTTGCTTCGATACCTACGACCCCCAAAAAGTGTACTATCAGATCATCACACAAAGGCTAAATATAAAAATAGATCTAATCTGTTCACATCTAAGACATTGTGTCACTCCCTCCAACATCCTTTAGAATGAAACTTCAAATCTTGATATATTTTTACAACCTATTTACGCTCAAACGAGCAACTCAATCAGACTGAAACTCAAATTGAGCATAGGCATTCCAAGATTAGCCAACTCTCCATCCACCTATAAATCCACTCCTCTCATACAATCATTAGATGAAGTGTTGAAACTTAACTGGCATAATCTACAAATACAATCGGCTTTGTGGGATTGGATTGACCTATTGTCTATTGAAATGAGATCCATTACTTAATCAACCCTGAATTTATTTTTTAAAAGATGTATACGTACCATTAGATATCTAATCAAAGTATCAAACAAAAACTAAATCTTAATTAAAATCCTGAGTAAAGAACTAAGCAGGCAGAATTAAACTAGCTAGCTGGATAGTAGCAACACTCAAACTTCACTAGCCGTAACATTAGGAGTTATAACTTTCCTTTAAAAGTAAATTGACTGGTTTCGGTCAAACCCAATATCAGAAAAGGAAACGATAGAGTAGACTGAGTACAAAAACAAATCGACTTCTTAAGAAAAGTCTTAGGAACGGACCTCGTCGTAGCTAGACGTTTGTTATCGGCGGAAGAAATTGTAAAAGAGAAGGAGAGCTGCGGGACGGTATTGTTGTCACACGAGACAACGAAACAGAGATCGAAACAACCACGTACGAAAGCTATGATATTGTATTATTGTCTGGTCCGGTAAACAGAGGAGTCGTACACTACCTGGTTCTTTAAATTAGTTTTAGGTGAGGGTGGATTCTCAGGGGCCTGCCGAGGAGGACTTACGGGTCATGTCGCCCGCTTCCGATTGGCACGGGTCTGGACTCAGACTCAACCCGAATTGTGTTTAAAAGGTTGTATCCGGATTATTTTATTCTAGGGAAAATAACTTTAAATATTACAAACTATCTTCCGTGAATCAAGAATAATACATACTTTCAAAATAAGTTTTAATAATACCAACTATTTGAATATAGACCACAAAAGATATAGGGCATCTTTTTACTAAAAATTCAACCATCTAACTCATCAAGAACTTATATAAAAATATCTAATTAGTGAAATATTTCCAAATATCATTTATTTGATGGATTGTCATTAGATTTTGATGTCTTAAATGATCGGATTTTTTGTCAAAAAATGACTCCATATTATTTTTGTTTTACATTCATATAGTTGGTATTATTAAAAGTCATTTCCGAAGTTTGTTTTATTATTGGTTCAAGGATGATAGTTGGTATTATTTAAAGTAATTTTTCCTTTATTCTATTTACCCCGATCAGAGATTCAGAATGCGGACTGATTGGCAGGGGTGGATGTACGTGTTGATGTATGGGGCACATGCCCCAATAAAATGTACTACCTCCGTCTCATTTTATGTGTCTTAGTTTGACTTGACACGGTTATTAATGAAGTGGTTGGAAAAATGAAAGTTGTGGTTAAGGTTTGAGTATTATAAAGTAAAATGGTGTAGACCACATATTTCTTTCCAAAAGAGAAAAGTAGACACTTATTTTGGAACAACCCAAAAGGGAAAGTATGACAGATAAAATGGGATGGAGGGAGTAATTTTTCAGTGTTAATAAATTATATCTCTATCTCTAATCTCTAATCTCTAATCTCTAATCTCTAATCTTCTCTAATCTAACCTCTTATAAACATGAATGATGGTAAGGGCTCTTTGGGCATGTAAAATGTGTTGATGTAACTAAAAGCAATATCAAGTAGTACATTAAGCTATTTAAGTTGGACTCTATAATCTTTCCGTCCACCTTCCGTTAGTGTACATTTTATTTCCGCTTCATCTGCTTCCAAGTTTGTCTGCGTTGCCGTCTACTGCCCCCGTCCATTTTCCCCCCTAATTACTTTATTCTCAATTAATGATCTCAACTGCTACATGCATAATGGCTATCTTCTTCTATTTATCTCATTTTCGGAAACGGCCAGGAGATGTACCGTCTTCTCTTCCTCACTGTTTTTCATAGAGCATATAATAGTTTCCTTCTTCTCAATTTAGTCATTACATTTCGATCAGTTTTCATTTCTCCATCTTCATTCATCGGTTGTGCCTTAGCTTGCAATAGTACAAAGCAGGGGGTTGGTGCGGCTGTTACAGTGTTACGTCAAGCAAACTGGTACATCTTCATTATGTGAAAGGTAGTCATAATTTATTAAAGGATTTCCCGACTTCTTTGATTGCATATTCTGGTCACTTCTTATAGTCAAATTATTTACCTTGTTTTAGCTATATGTTTAACTATATGTAGAAGAAAGCATGATAGAACTGCATTAGATCATTTTTGCCCATATTTTGATTGGATGTCAATGAGAGAGACTGAGAGAATCATGTATCACCTTCCAGAGTTTCTTAGATCATAAAAAGTTTGTATTTTTTTACTCATGTTGACTAACATAATTACAACACACATAATCAGTGTCTGCCTTGAGTAATATCTCAAAGCATATATACAATTAGTCGAAAGTACTTATCTTAATATGTTTTCTAATTCAGTGACAATAATAATTACTTTTATCTTTACAAAAAATTTCTAGGAGTTATGTGAATCTCCTTGTTCAAGCCTCCAATTCCAAAGAAGCCACGAAAATGCGGTGTGAAGTATACCATCATTTGGAGGTAATTTAACTCTCGTATGTTACTCCAGATGAAGTTCTCTAGTTTCAAATGACATGGTGATCACGACTTTATCATTTTTTATTTGGTAGATTCTATGGTACCCATACGGTATCATACCTTTGTCCACATGGACCAATGAGAATGTAGCAGTTGAATTATTTAAATCTAAATTAAAAATGATAAAGTGATGTGGTCCAATCAAATGAATGATAGGTACGGTACCCCATATTTTAGAAAGGTAGCGGAGTTGTCACCTTTTTATTTTCCGTTAGCAAAAAAAGAAAATGACATTGATAGACTGATGTATATCCATTACAAATAAAAACTTTGTGCAAATGGTGCAAAAAATATTACATTGGATATTTATCTTATAGCGTAACGTGCGTATAGAAACTAGTTTTAATATAAATAGTGAAAGATCCCCAATTAAAAACTAAGAGTGCCCCCAATTAAAAACTAGGAGTGCGCCCAACTCTTGTATTACCAAGAAATAAAAAGACACTCCCAGTCCCACTATCTCGATCATTCAAAAGCAACTAGGGAACTAAAGAATAGTTTAGTTTTGTTGGGCTAATTTTTGTTAGTCTTTCGGTATTTCCTCTTGTTTAGCATTTACTTTTGCATATTTTTAAAAAATATGAATAAAGTTGTTAGTTTTTCAAAGGATATGTACTCTTGATTTTAGTTTCCATCTAAAGTTACTTAATTATAAACATATTTCCGAGATGAAGATATTTCTTTCCAAAAACTTGTAACTATGAGTATAGTGTAATGAGTATAGTGTCATGTTACTTAAGCAATTAAGCATAAAAGTGAACATATATTACTATGACCAAAATTATACTCTCTATATTGTAAATATGTAGTATATTCCTACGTAAATATTAAGCTCAAAATTTTATGTATACATATGCATTTATTTAAAAAAAACAATCACATATTTATGACTAAATAGAGATACTTTACAAAAAATTGTGTACATAATCCATACACTTATACACTCTAAGGTCACATTTTTGTAAAGTATCTTTATTTTGATCATAAATAAATAATTGTTCTTACTAAAATAAATAAATAAATAAATAAATATATATATATATATATATATATATATATATATACATTTTGAGATTAATATTGAAAAATTAAAAAGTTTTAACTTTGAGATTGATTTTAAGTTTGATATATATTCAAAAATATTTGTATTAAAAGTACGTTTGGTAACACTGAAATTGGCTGAATTAGTTGATTCTGTTGATATTTATGAAGTTCAGGCTGAACTGGCTTTATTGAATGATTCTGCTGATTTATGAAAAAGTTATATTTAAAATATTTGTTATTAATAAATAAAATAAAAAATTATATGAAAAAATAGCTAAAATGATCATCTACAGTAACTTTAGCCAATATAGTAAAAAAAGTAACTTCAACCTTACCTTTTCTTATTATTACACAATTCAGCGCGCACAATTAAAAATTTTGTGCTTGGTGAAGAAACAAAAAAAGGTCACCAAACAGGCTCTAAACCTTTTAAATGATGCCCCCAATAACACTTTTTTTCTGAATCCGCCACTGCTGATTGGCATTTTTAATAATGGGTCAGGTATGATACATAATATCAGATCTGGTTATTTAAAATTCCTTATTATGTATACACATACATTAAATACATACATACTGTATAAGTGATATTGAGATAGTGAGATACCCGAAACCTAATAGATGGAACTTGTTTACACATACTGATAAAGTGTGTATTTGGTTTGGTAGACCACACCCAATATTAATTACTATCATTAGTGTTATTACATCATATACATAATATATAATATGCTTTTATATTCCTAGTAGTCCAAAAGACTATTTCATGACCTCATTTCTAGAGCCCGTTTGGTAGCACTGAAATTGTCTCAATCGGCTGATACTCTATAATAACTTCAGCCAATACAGGTAGAAAAGTAACTTCAACCTTACTTTTTTGTTATTATTACACAATTCAGCGTGCGAAATCAAAAGTTACGTATTTGGTGAAAAAAATTATTGATAAGTCTGATAAGCCGAAAAACAAGGGAATTAATTCCACTTTAGGTCCTCCGAGTTTTGTGTCATTTCCATATTTAGTCCTCGTCTTTCACTTTATCCATTTTTGGTACCTGATTATTGTTTTCTTGACCATTTTCGGTCCATCTCTGGGCATTTTTACTACCGGAAAAAGGATTATATATGGTCAAGAAAACAATAGTCAGGTACCAAAAATGGATAAAGTGAAAGATGTGGACTAATTGTGGAATTGGTGCAAAACTCGGAGGACCAAACGTGGAATTTCTTCAAAACAGGGTCACCAAACAGGCTCCTAGTCTATTTGACGAACCTTCCCTGCGAGAGTGGAGCTATACGTCTATAGAAGAACCGATCCTTTGAATAGAAGTACTGATTTCTATTTGAAACCTTGATTTTCTTAAAAGTAAAAATATGTTTTGCTATTGAGTTTTGTTTCTTGTTAATGACGATTTAGAAGTATAATTAGTTTACGTACTTTGCTTTATTATTCATATATAGGTCTTGTTACTTTCACAAAGTTTGTAATGTTGTGTATCTCATATTTTGTGGATCTACCCGACCCTGTTCCGAGACTCGTTAGGTCCGGGTTCAGGTACAAATATTTCACACTTGTCGCGTTCGGGTCCTTTAAGATCTTTTTACGTCACTAAAAGTTAAAAATTACTAAAAATAACTTACAAAAGTATATTTCCAACTAGTTGTTCCAAACATACCCCTAATATTGAGGTTTATTCCTAGAGGTCCAAACTCCAAAGGCCCAACACAGTCCCTTGGGTTGTCATAAGAGTTCCTTTTTTACGGGTTAGTATACTAGTGTAGTGAGTGATTAAGGCAAGAAAGAGACAAGAATAACAACAAGTAATTCTACCCCCTAGATCCAGTTTTATTGAAGTCCTTAGAATGATTACAACACTAACGTCGAGCCCGAGCTCCGACCCCCTAGATCAAGTTGAATGCTACAGAAGAACAAGAGAGAAGTCTTTTGCTAAGAATACAAAGATTTCAACCCTTTACACCCTTTACAAGAGGTGATGTGCTCAACCTTGAGTGGATGAACCTCAACCATAAAATCTTCCATATGAGGTATATTAATGTGCTTCCCGCCAATTTCCAGATTTCCCGCCAACTGGTTGGGGGAGTTCTGTCTTGGATGGCTGCTGGATCGAGTGGAAAAGTCCAAGTAAAGGAACATGGCCCAACGGCACTACCCATGTAGGATGGCCGTGCGACCTTCCTAAACTGACTGAATCGTGATTAGGCCGGTACATGGAGATTGGGCATCTTGGGGTATTTGGGTCTAGGTTTGGGCCTAGATGATAGCCGTTATATTTACTTGTGTTTAACATAAGTATTTATAAGTATTTTTTGAAGAAAAGAAGAGAAATCGGGCAAATACCTCCAGAATGGGAGCTAGATCATAAAACATTGCGATGAACGACTTTTTGGACCAAGAGAATGACGTTCTGCCCATAATTTGAGTATAACGTATTCTATAGAACTCGAAATCACTCGATTCGAGTTTCATGTGAATGCTAACTCAATAAGGTACAAATGTTATGAAGACGTCATGGCCAAAATATGAAAGGAGCAAGACTCAATCAACCAACAAAGTCAGATGTTGCTGGTGGGATTTCAGGATGCATACCTCTCAGTGTTTTGCCCATATCGTTTGATTGGCTGAATAAAATCACGTCATTCAAGTTTTGGTGGATAGAAGACTTCATTATCTACAACTTTGGTGAAGGAATCATGTCCAAATTCGAAGCGGAACATCCCCAAAATCCCAGGACAAAACCGGCACCGGAATTTGCACCAAACCCGCGCCGGTTTGTTAATTTTCGCATGGCACAAACCAGTAGCTTACCCGGCGCCGGGTAGGCCTTATACCCGGCGCCGGGTAGGACAAAATTTCCAGTTTTCCCTGCACACAACGAAGAACCGGCGCCGGGTAGGCTTGAAACCGGCGCCGGGTAGGTCCGATTATGCACAAAACAGACCAACGTGCAAGAGGATTTTTGATGGGAAAACTTCATCTTCCTCAAGTGTGATCAAATATTGCTTCCATACCTTATTGTTGGGCTCGAATAGACTAAAAGATGTCATTCTTTAGCCTATATAAAGCCCTCAATTCATCATTCAAACACATTCCATTCCATAGATTAATTCCTAGCTTTTATATTTTGTTCTTGCTATTTTTCTTCAAGTTCTTGAGGAGGAAACTTCAACCTCCGAAATCATTGGTGTTTAGGTATTATTTCCTTTGTAATTTTATGTTCCATTACATTTCAATATTGTATTGTGATTAATATGAGTATTAGAGGCTAATTTCTTAGCTAAGGCTAGGGATGAACTTCTATGCCCACTAGGTGTTTGATAAAAGTTCTAAACCAATAAATTGTGATTTATCCTTTACATTTTGATTGTTTATGACTATGGTGTACAACATAGAAGTATGTTAAACTTAGTTTATGCTTGCAATTAACGTTGAGGTCTAAACTATGAACATTAAAGGATAAACATATATATTACCGAGAATAGAAATATATCCGGTATTATATGATACGGGTGTGATGTCTTGATATTCAACGGGGTTTTCGGTAGATGAATGTAAGCCGTAACGGAACTTACACGTAACGAAAACCACGCTCTCGCTGCCTTAACCGGAGTTGAGAATATATTAGCGATATCGTATTCATAATTATTGGTAAAGAACTAATATTCAACCCTATTAAAGCATTTAAGTGATTCCCGAAGCCTTAGCCGTTGTTATTCTTCTTAAATCCGAATTAATCAAGGTTATTTCCTTGAATTAAAAGTGAAAAGCCAAAAATATAAAACACAACTCAAAATCCCTGCACTTTACTCATTTCAATATATAAAGTTATCTACTCTCGGACTTGAATTAAACAACGTTTCCCTGTGGATTCGACCCGGTATTTTACCGGAATTTATTACTATATCGGCACTTGTACACTTGCAAGTTCAGCCCGGTCAAGTTTTTGGCGCCGTTGCCGGGGAAACTATCTTGTTTAAAAAAGTCCAAACAATCAAAAATCCTGAATTTATTTTATTTATTACTTTTCACAACTTCACTTGATCTTGGAAGGATTTTTGTTTTTTCTTGTGTAGATATTCCCTTGTGTTTGCATGCAATTGAGAGGTCAAGGTTCTAAAATTCTTGAACCACTTGATCTTGAAAAAGAAAAAACTTGCAAACACATTCGAAGGGAGCAAAAAGCTACAAAGATATTGCCAACTTTGAATGAGAGGAAGAGGCCCGTGGTTGCCACCAGTCCCTCATGTATTGTCCTAAGCGAAGCGGCTCGGGACTATGAAATGAAAAATAGCTATTTCAATGCTATGCCTCAATTTCATGGTCTTCCGGGGGAGAATCCACTTAACTTCATCACCGAGTTCTATGGGTTCATCCAAGGAATCCCTAGACATGGTCTCACCGAGGACGATCTCAAACTTAAAAGCTTCCCCTACACTTTGAAAGGGGCAGCAAGGGGATGGTTCTTAGAGCAAGCACCGACAAGCTTTACAACGTGGGAAGGTATCTATAATGCTTTCATTTCCAAGTATTACACATCCACTATGACTCAAGAGCTAAGACAACGAATCTTCAACTTCAAACAACAAGTTGGGGAATTATTCCAAGACGCATGGAGGCGTTTCAAATCATTGCTAAGGGAATGCACACATCATCGCATTCCTCTTGATCTTCAAATTGACACATTCTACAATGGTTTGAACTCTTCATGTCAAGCCATTGTAGACAACCGTGCGGAGGGCTATATTGGCAATAAAACTGAAACGGAAGCATTAAGAATCCTTGAATCTATTGCTTCAAATCCTCAATTACAAGGAGGAGATGTCAAATTGGCCGGTGTGAGCAAAGTGTCTATAGCTCATGAATTAGACAAACGGTTTGCTGATTTTCAACAAGCCATGCACAAAGATCTTCAAGCTTCTATTCACACGGCTCTACAAGCCGTAATTGGAGGGGCTAGTCAAGTGTCAAATGTGGAAAGCATAGCACAACCGGAAGGTAATTCACCTCAAACTCTTGAAGAAGTGAATTATATGAACTCATATGGGAATAGGGGGAATCGAGGAGGCAACAACTACAATAATCAACCAAGGTTTAACCAAGGAAATTCTTGGAGACCACAAGGAGGTCCTTCTAACCCCCCATCCAATTTTGCGCAAGGGCAAAAAGAGCAAACAATGGAGGAGATGATGATAGCTCTCACTCAAAATGTTGTGGCTATAAAAGTCCAAAATGAGGAAAATCATAGTAGAGTGGAGGCATCCATTGGGAATCTCCACTCTCAATTCAACAAGTTGGATCTTCGCTTTGAAGATCAAAATATAAAGCTCAACCAACGCATTGATACCATCGAGCAATATACCACAAAGTTTTTACTTTATTAATCCTCGTGTCGGTCAAACTTGACAAAGTTTTAAGGAACGGAGGTAGTATATATAGTTGCATTAAAAAAAGTTAGCTTTTATAACATCTGAGTGAAACACATGGACGTCTGGTGTACCACCATCTACATTTGTGTTATCCGGGTCTGAGTGAACACATATATAAAAAAAAATGATTATGATAGAGTATATAGACTCGGACCCCCGGGTCTCATGACTATTGGGCCCGGACAGCGGCCCACATACGCTCAATAGATAGCATTTATCTCATTGTACACTCTATTTTATTCATGTATATCCATTAGAATAGATTAAATACAATTTATTAGCCATTTATTGGCCTTTTATTGTAACTGGGCCAGCCAGGCCCAAGCCTGGAAGTTCAGCCCTCTTTTCTCCTATAAATATTCCCTATGGGAGCCATGTAAAGGATTGGAAGGCTGGAAGTTGGAAATTCATTTTATACATATCAATTTATCTCTCTAGCTCTCCCTTCTCTCTAGATTAAATAATCTATCATTTTGGTGCTTCCATAATATGATGAACCAGACATCATATTATGGACGGTCGCTCGACCCATCCCTTAGTCATCTTTATTTGATGATTAGGACTACTGATCATGATGAGCTACCCACATCTAGGGATCGGCCTCGGCCATCCCCTCAGCAGACGGACACCGCTGCAGCTCCATCTCTAGGCCGAGGGGCTCACACCTTTTGCTTCATTTTGGGGGCATCCGGTGTACTCTTTTTCCCTCATTAGGAATTTTTCCCATAGGGTTTTTTCTAATGAGGTTTTTAACGAGGCATCTCCCCATTGTGGATCAAAAGGTGTCAACCCTCGGCCCCCTGTTGAAGACATCATCAGACAGACATTACTTTACTCCTCTTCACCTCATTACACTCGCCTCAAGGAGTGGGGGATTGGGAGAGCGGGGGACTTAGCGCCTCCACCATCGAAAAACCACATATTCAAAAATTTTGCAAGTATTGCCACATGCACCGACGACATCATCATATCACATACATATTCAGCTGCCACATCGGCCAGTACATATACATAGCTCCCCGGCCTCAAGACTGGTGGTGATGGTCTCTGGTCTGCGACCTTCGGCTGATGATTCTCCCACAGGGTTGCCTCAGTCAGGGCTCACCAATGGGATCGATCATCGGCTTGGGAGTTCGGGTGAGGCGCTTCGGCGATGACAGCAGTTTACTCGTCGGACGACGACAGATCAACACACAGTTCTACTCTCTTTCGCCTCGAGTGCTCTCGACTCAGAGAGTGGGGGACTCCGGATAGAGTATATAGACTCGGACCCCCGGGTCTCATGACTATTGGGCCCGGACAGCGGCCCACATACGCTCATAGATAGCATTTATCTCATTGTACACTCTATTTTATTCATGTATATCCATTAGAATAGATTAAATACCATTTATTAGTCATTTATTGGCCTTTTATTGTAACTGGGCCAGCCAGGCCCAAGCCTGGAAGCCCAACCCTCTTTTCTCTTATAAATATTCCCTATGGGAGCCATGTAAAGGATTGGAAGGTTGGAAGTTGGAAATTCATTTTATACATATCAATTTATCTCTCTAGCTTTCCCTTCCTTCTAGATTAAATAATCTATCAATACACACACACACACACACACACATATTTAGAGTAATCTTCTTGTTAGGACTTCCTGACCGGAACCGTTGTCCAGCCGAGACCATTTGGGGTCATTCCCAATGGAAATTTTTGATGAAATATTTTGGGCATGTTTTTCATCAAATCTAATTTATGACCATTAAATTTTAGTTAAAATTCCAATCGAGAAGGCAGTCAAACAAATTTTGGAAGATAACTGCGCCAAAATATACATATAAAACACATTTATTTTTAAATTTTGTTTGACTGCCTTCCCGATTGAATTTTGAGTTGAAATTTGGTGGACATAAACTAGACTTCATGAAGAACATGCCCAAGACATTTCATCAAAAATTTCTCTAGGAACCGCCTCAAATGGCAGCGTCTAGACGGCGGATTTGGTACGGAATTCCAGACCTGAACTCTCTCTCTCTCTCTAGAGAGAGAGAGAGCTCTGGCCGGACAGGCCCCTGGTCCGGCCACCTCAATTTGAGGTGGTTCCCGGTGGTATTTTTTGCCCAAATTTTTTGTGCATGTTCCTCATCAAGTCTAGTTCATCCATACCAAATTTGAGAAAAATATTCAATCGGGAAGGTCGTCAAATGATTTTTGCAAGTTAACTGGTCCGGAATATACATATAAAACGCAGTTAACTTGCAAAAATATCATGTAAATTTTTTTCTAAACATATTCTTTGTACTGGTCCAGTTCAGCCCAGTCCAGCTCAGCGCTCTGGTTCCGCCCTTGCCTCAATTCTGGGCAACAGGAAACGCGCGGTCTTCCAAAATACGCTGCAAATAAGGAATGAACTTACCTCGGAATGCATACGGGAAAAATACGTTCCAATATGCTGTCGAGGAATGCAAAATAGGAACGCATACGGAAATACTTCGTAATTGGCTTACATCTGACGTCGACACTTTTGGGCTACAAACACATGCCTGTAATTCTTTTCCTTTTTTATAAGAATATTATTTGATGGAATTTTTTAAGCATGTTCGTCTTGAAGTATAAATTATACCACAATATTAATTTATAAGATGAATTTTTCAATAATTTATTTACACTTCGTGACGACATATTCATAAAATTTCATCAAAAAATGCTACACCAAAACCCCTTAAATAAACGGGCTTGGTTGGACGGGACTCTCCGTCAATCTGGATCGATGAGATAAGTTCTTTGTGTGTATATATCATGGAGTTCCTATACCGTGGGATCATCCCACGGTGAGCATCGTGCTCCACATCTGAAACTACGTAGTTTTGCACAATATTTTTAAAAAAAATTCGCGTGAACAGTAACGCGTGAACAGTAACTTTTTTTTCTTTTTGACCCAGTAGCATGAATAATGTAACTCGCGTGTAAAGATATGTAACTCACGTTATTGATTAATGTAACTCAAGTCCATTCGAAATGTAACTTGTCAAATACATATTATAAGAAATAAAACATTGATTTCAATGTAAATAATTAAAAAAAAAAAGTCTAATTGCACAATTACTTTACGTAAATCGTGAATATGTTTTGTTTTTAATATCATGACCATCAAAAGAATTTAAAAAAAATCATCCTATTTTTTGCTTTAATACCAGAGGTTGATTTTTTGATATAACTCACGTTATTATAAATGTAACTCACGTTGATGGCAAATGTAACTTAGTTGTATACAGAATGTAACTTGTTGGGGCAAGTCCCTATGTAACTCGCGCTTCAAAAGATGTAACTCGCTTGTAAAAAAGATGTAACTCATACACATAAAAATGTAACTCACACACAAAAAGATATAATTTCATGTACTTCGTATTATCAAATGTAATTGTGAGAAGAACAATTGTATGAGAATCCAATAGTATATATATGGGAAGAGAAACGTCTGAATAGAGTGTGAATCCCAAACAAAATGCATTTAAATAAGGAAGATGGAGGTATATATGAATGGATCTGAGATTTTAAGCTCTGTGTATCTTCTTTGTCTGCTAACATCCGTTTCTGTAATACATATGCACTGAGTATAAGAAATTCGATTCAGTAGGGATGTCCAGCAAGGAAGCTTCAAGCTTCGTACCACCAAAGGAAATTTTTGGCCGCAGGGATGAAGCATATGCTGGACGGTTGGAGAAGACGGTGATTTTTTGTCAGCTCTGTTTTAATTAATACGGAGTATAAAACGCCGTCGTTTTGGGATCGGCACACCCTGCTCATGGTGGGCCGATCCCACGGTATAATTTGCGTATATCATGGTGAGTATGTAATTATATATCATTGATAAAAAAAAAATGATCAATTTGATAATTAAAAAGATAGAGTATTTAATTAATTAATATGGAAAGCATTGAATAATTTCATACAAATACATCATGCCCGATGTCATCAATCATCTTGAATTTTCAAATGCAATAGTGCAATTGTTGGTGGGCACTTTTAAGGACGATCAATGAAACTAGGTTTTAAGCCAAATATATAGATGGCTTATAAATAATTCAGAGACGGAAACTAACCACCTCTGTCATTCTCACCATATATAATCGTTTATGATGGCTCTCAACTCCTGTTTGAAGCATATAATTATTTTTCTGGCATCCTCTCTTTCCATGCAGTCATGGACGGGGAGATGCGGCGGAGAACCCACCCCTACTGCTGCGGCGGTGAATGTGGAGGAACTCCCAATATCTGAGCACTTTGAGCAGTGGATGATCCTCCATGAGCGTTCTTACAGAGATGAAGTAGAGAAGGCAGAACGGTTCGAGATCTTCAAGAAAAACAAAGCGTACGTGGATTCTTTCAATCTGCAGGCGGCGGAGAAGAACCACACGTACACACTCGGAATCAATCAGTTCTCCGACATGACTGATCACGAGTTCTCCATCAAATACTTGAGTCGCCGTCCGCCGTCTAAGCGGGTCCGAAACCGGACGGCGGAGTCGCCGTCCCCGTCGTTTCTGAACAAAAATGATTATAATGTGAGTTTGGATGAGCTGCCGGGCAACGTAGACTGGAGAGACAAAGGTGCTGTTACTGGAGTCAAGGACCAAAAAAGGTGCGGGTGTTGCTGGGCGTTCTCTGCGGTGGCGGCTCTGGAGGGGATGAACAAAATCTTTCTCGGAACGTTGTTTGAGTTGTCGGAACAGAACGTGATAGACTGCACGCCCGACCGCGGCCATGACGGGTGCTGGAGTAAACACATGATAGATGCGTTCAATTATGCGGAGGATAACGACGGCGTCGCGTCGGAGAAGGACTACCCCTTTGTGGGTGTTAGACAGCAATGCAAAGATTATTACATTCTCCCAACTGGGGGCAGTACCTCAAACTATGGCGAGGTGCCGGAGAATAATGAGATGGCTCTGCTCGCCGCCGTCGCAAGGCAGCCCGTCTCCGTCGGCCTCACTTACAGCCCTGATTTCATACCGAATTTCAAGAGCTACCGCTCGGGGATTTTCAACGGCGGCCTCAACGGCGACTGCGGAACCGGCAACAACCATGCTGTCGCTATCGTCGGATACGGCACCGTCGTCCCGTATGCTCCCTATTGGATTGTCAAAAACTCTTGGGGGGCTCGCTGGGGAGAGTATGGTTATATGAGGATGGCAAGACAGAATGGTAAGGGTGGTGGAACATGCGGAATTAACAACGATCCCGTTTACCCTATCCCCTACTCCACTGATTGATTAAACTTTTAATTAAGGATGTTTTTTTTATTGGAATTTGTTGATTTGGTGTGGTCTGATCTGTTCTCTGTGTATTTTATAATTGTCTGATCTGATCCTAATTGTATGTTATATATAAATACACTTGAATTGCTCCTCATTAATCACTTCCCTGCCATTATCACTGTCTGTGTATCTTTCTTGTTTCCTAAGTTTGTCACTTTGTTGTGATCTGTATAAATATGGTTTCCTTTCAAAGTTTCAAAATAGAGCTGATGATAAGCCTATGTTTAGGTTATCTACTTTCACATTTGAGAGAAATCATATCATTTAATGCACATCGTGTATATCTGTATACATATTAGGGGGTGTTTGGAACTGATTCTGCTTCTGCTTCTTTTTTAAAGTAGAAGCAGAATCAGAATCAGTTTTCAGAAGCTGGTACCTACCAGCTTCTAAAAAAAACTGATTCTGAGAGTAAATTAGAGCCCCAGAAGTGCTTCTGGAATTTCACCCAAACACTCCAGCTTCTGCTTCTGCTCTCTGAAGCAGCAGAATCAGTTTTGAGAATCAGATCCAAACACCACCTTAGTATATTACTACTAGTATATTACTGTACTTCGTAAGTCTGCAAAAAAAATGTCATCTATCCTTCCAATCTGTCTGCCTTTTCTTCTCTGGCCGAACGCCCACACAACGCCTTCTTCCCGACCATGGATTGATGGAGGTGAAAAGTGGGAAAAAACGGGTCAAATGGACCAAGATTAGTGATATATACGGAATTACGGAGTATATACTTTGTTTCCTTGTGTGTTCATAAGGTGTTTTATATGCACAAACGGAAGAATTCTTCGTTTCCCTCATCGGCATCACCGAGGAGTTTATTTTATCCTCATAGTGCCGGAAAAGATCTCTTTCGGGTTATTCACAAGTTCCCAGAGGGTGACTCCCCAATATATCAAGGCTTAACACATTCAGATCAATAATATGTTGAATAACTAATTATAAAAGTGGAACCATTATAAAAGTTTTAACTAATGAAATCGGTCCGGTTCCTATATAAAAAATCAAGAACCGTTATGGAACCGAACCGGTAGTAAACGGTTCGGTTCTTCCTTTTATCGGTTCCTAGAATAATTTTTTCTCGTCTAAGAATTAACACATAATTTACTTTCTACAAACAACATAAACACATCGAAAATTCAAAACACGAGTATTAAAATTTTATTTGAAGCTCTAATCACTTCAAACATCAAAGCTCAAACTTAACTAATGAACTTTGAACACTTAATAGAACAAAAGTGATTTAAATTTTCATGTAATAAATGAAACATTAAAAATCGTTGTAGTGTCGGAGCGATGAAGGTTACTCATCATCATAGTAGCAAGAATATGACGCTTACTTCAAGTATTTCAAAACATAAAAAAAAGACATTAAGTTTGCATGTATAGATATAAAAAACATTATTACATTCTATTGATTCATAATAAATCTAATAATTAGAAATATCATGAAAATAGTAAAGTAAAATATGTGCAATCAACTACAATTTATTTGAGTTATTTTATATTTATAAAATTTATGTGATGGAACAAAACTTGATTTGTAGAAAGGAGTTTAATGTATTATATCAACCTCATGTACAATATTTATTACTTCTTTTCCATTGATTAAATTAGAATTGTTAGTTAAATATCTTATATTGTTTTATTATAGTGGTTGTGGTGGTGGTTATTATTGCTATTATATTATTATTATTGTTGTTGTTACTACTACTACTGCTATTACTACTACTACTACTACTACTACTAATAATAATAATAATAATAATAATAATATTTTATTTTTTTATTTTTTTTAATAACGGTTCCTTAACGGTTCCATGCACATATTTTTTATAGGAACCGGGAACCGAACCGTTATAACCCGCTTCGGTTCGGTTCCTACAAATGAGGCATTAATTGTTAACGGTTTGGTTCCTAGATGTTGTTAACGGTTCGGTTCCAATCGGTTCTACGGTTCCCGGTTCCAAAATCCCACCCCTAATTTTAACGGATTAATTTTGTTTAATCAAATCAAACACAGTGAACAATTGTGTTTGTGGTTTGACGGTTTGTTTAGCACAGATGATTAAGGGTAGCTTGTTAAGGGTTTGTTTGGGCCGTTTACACACTCCGATATTGTCCAGCCCGATTCGGGCTGAGGGGCCTGTTAAACCATTTGTCCCACACTGGAAAGCTATAAAACAATTAAACACTATATAAGGCTTTGGAATACTTCTCCTATCAGGTTAACCTTTTAGGATGGAACCCCGGATTTTAACAACAAGCATGAAAGATATGATTTACTTGCTCGAAGGAAATATTATCTTGTTTGATGATGAAGCCACGATTCCCGTTATAATATCTAATTTAGTGATGGATTTATTAATATGTCCCATAGAGTTGATTTGATGTTATTTATAATACTATGGGGACATAAGAGAATGAGCACGACTAAATAATGTGTCCTTTCGTTTATGAAAGAAGTGACACAAATGAATGGTCCCTATTAATTTATTTATTTTTAATAGATATTTGATGGGAAATCAATTATGCCCTTATAATAATTATAAATACTCTCATCAAGTAATGTTTAGGTAACACGGGACACATTATGTCATATTGGCATAATTTGTATTAAAATAGATATAATTAAATAAACATTATAAATGGTCCTAAGGCCATATAAAATGAAAAGTATTCCAACATTCTCCCACTTTCCATCATTTGCAATGGAGTCAAAGATTCATTATTTTTGGACTTGATAATATGATGGAATAAAGCAAAATGACTCACCAAACTGTCTGCGCTTCTTTGTTATGAAGCAGCAGCAGTCAAGCCATGCAATTTTGGACGCGATTTTCATTGTGGGTCATCCGGAAATAGTTTCTCTGTGCTTTAATACAGAGATAAGACTGCGTACATCCGACCCCCTCCCCTTACCCCACCGTAGGTGGGAGCCTTTGCAGCACTGGGGTATATGATGATTGATTGACTCATAAGTTTTGCCAAAGTTAAATTCTCATAAGTATTTAAATATTCATAAGTTTTATGAGCATATCAATTAATTATCCATGTCGTTAGTTATCAACTAAATTTTTGTAGACTATTGTTTATCAAGTAAAACTAAAAGTAGAATAGATTTATGGAGTCACATATGACTATCTTATACAGTCATATGGATATTGTGACACCATCATCACCATTCCACTCAATTTTTTAGTGAGGTACCCGAGAATGAATGATGATTTTGGTGTCACAATAGCATATGACTCTGTAAGAGAGTCATGTGGGGCAATGTTAAATATGAGAACAGCAATCACACTGAAATTACATAAATACATAATACTTCGTATTAAGAGTTAAGACTAATAATAACTACGTCAAAGCGATGTATGCCTAATCAGACTTTAGTCAAGTCCAGCAAAATTCCGTTTAAGTGTCAAACCAGTAATAATAGCCTAATAGGATTACCAACAAAGACAAATTTCAGCACAGGTACTAATACTACTTCCATCCCAAAATCAAATTCACACTTTGCTTGTGGAGTCAAATTGAACATAAAGCTGCCAAAAACGATACACACGACTCTCCTTCCTAGCCAATAACGCATATGTATGTTGGCTCAATGCCTCCACATTCAGTGCTTTCATTCTATCTATTCGTACTGTACAACAATGGCTTCCTCTGCTACAGTCCACCCATCTTTTCCGCAGCTTCCTTCAGATGAACAGTTCTGCAAAGATGATGCCAAAAGTGTTTTAAAAAATATCTGTGGTGGCTATTATAACAGCTTAGATGCAAAAGTGAATGTTTTTCATTTGTACATATATATATGGAGTATATATAATAATATAAGTACCAGTTTTCCAAAAGGAAAAGCTCAAGATAACGTACTCATCCTGTTTTCAAACATCAAAATTTAGAGCATTTGGTAATCCCTATTTTCAGCTTGCAAACTTTTTTACAAAACAAACTTTTAATTTTGCGGGGTAAATTTTATAATAATCAAAATAAATAAGATTGATCTTTTTAGACGGCCAATTTAGCTTCATACAGAGTATACCATTTTTTATTGGAAAAACAATTAAAATACCCCAAACTTTGAAGGGGTGTGAGATAAACACCCCAGACTTTCATATGTAATTTAAATACCTCAAACTTTATATAAAAGTTATTTTAACACCATGATGATGTATCATTTCAAAAAAATTATGATGTTAATTGCATGATTTAAAATAGCAAATTGAAAATATTGCAGTTTTATAGAGTTTATAGGAGAGGGGTAATACTATTTATTTTAGAATGAAAGTTTAGAATGCTAATTGTATCTTCATGAATGCTAAAATGTTTTAAATTATGAAATTAACACCAATTTTTAACATTTTTGAAAAAAAATAATACAAGATCATGGTGCTAAAATAACTTTTTATATAAAGTTTGGGGTATTTAAATTACATATGCAAGTTTGGGGTGCTTACCTCACACCTCTTCAAAGTTTGGGGTATTTTAATTATTTTTCCCTTTTTTATTTAATTGATAAAATATATATTAATTACTCCCTCAGTCCTACAAAACTTTTTCCAAATTTCCTTATTTGGTTAAAGTTGTTTCTCTTTCCTCTACACGCATCTCAATCACTCAATTTTTACTTTATTATTACACATGCAAGTCAAAGTTGGCCAAGTTTTAAGAAATAGAGAGTATAAATTTTTAAAAATTCAACATATTCAGTTAATTCAATCGTTTCAACCGTAATTTCATCAATTTCAATAGATTCAGCCAATTAAGCAAATTTCAGTGCTACCAAATGGGTTCTTAATAAATTTGGAACAATGAAAACCAAAAACTACTCCCTCCACCAAATTTCTTTCTTCGGCAAAAAAATATGTGATTCACATCATTCCCTTGCACAACTTTAGGCCACACCATTTTCACTTTTCTTAATCCTCATGCCAAGTTAAAGCACAAGTTAATTATTTAACAGAGGGAGTAATTGATTTGTAATCTAGCTAAAAAGCAATTCAAAAGGATTAAAATTTCATCAAAAATAATTTGACTAACAGAACCCCGCATACCTAGTTTTGGGTTCATACCTAGTTTAAACACTGAAAAAGGAGTTAAAAGACTAACGTTGGAACAAGTGTAGACGATTAAAGTCATCCAGTTCCATTTATCCAGACATTGCTTCAACTTCTTTCCAGTAGCTTCATGTAAAAAATATAACAGTGGGGGCATCAACTGCATTTCATAGTGCCTAGATCCACCACACAGCCTGCATTTGTCAGGATCACTCTGCTCTGCAGAAGCTAATAGTTCCTTTCCACCATATGAGTATCTAGGGGCAACTCAAAAAGAAAAGATGAATGTAAAGTGAACATAAAGTTCAATGCTATAAAAGATCATAAGATTGGATATGCTAAATAAGTCGAAACAACTTTTTGCTATGTCCTCATTGGTAAACTAAGAAAATATAGTAAGCTTATGAGCAAAAGCAGAACAAAAAATTGAAAGCTGTGAGATGACTTCTGCCGTGTTTGGTAGCAAATCTAGAAGTGCTTCATTATGTGCCTGAAACTCTTGCGGAATGTAACATAGAATGTTGCACAGTATGCCATATGATGCTTTGCCTTGTAATGTAACATTGAACATTTCATAATGTGACAGCAGATTGCACATAAGAATTTTCTTGATTTTAACCCTTTTCCATGTAATCTCAAGTCATATCTTTGAGATTCAATTACAGAAATATAAAATGAACTAACAACAAATAGAGTATAAATCTATAATTACATGCTAGGAAAATGGCAAGTGTTCTGAATATATCTCAACAGAGCCTAGCTTCATGATGCCAAATGTCTATTACCTGAAACATTGCTCTGGGTATGCATCCAGTCGCTTTTTGAATTTAAGGTAAATCCTGTCTGCATTCGGTGCTCTGTCATATTCATATTTCTCCTCTTCCCAAACTTCATCATTTGTGTTATCAACATTTTGTTCATTGATAAAAGGCAGTGTTTTTTTATTCTGTTTGGGGAATATCTCCTCCTCGGCATGTATATAGAAACATGGCATCACTGCATTTAAAATGTCACATAAAATGCAACGATTACCAGTTAAATAAACTTTGAAAGAAAATGATTTACAAATCCAACTTTAAGTAAAAGGAAAATTGGTAGTACACCAATGATGTAATGAGGAAGAGAAGGACATGTGAAATACCTTAAATTTTTAACATTTTACTTCGTATTATTTACTTTAAGAAATTAGGATGTTGTGTTCATTCGGGCGGCTAAATTGTGAGTAAAATATCACATATCACAGAGAATAATCTGAGTTTGTAGGCAATGTAAGTAAGCAGAACAGATCTGATCACTTGGTTGTTTAACAAAAAATGGCACCACTTTTCTTTAGCATGTAATTTAAGTAGCGCTACTCTATTGTCGTAACCAGATGAGCACTGCACCAGACATGGTTTTCAATCAGAAGTGTGAAAGAGACCACTAGCATTAAATCCATCACAAGAAAAAAATCAGCAATGGAACCAGAAGCTACCAGGTAATTTTTCATCAATCACCCTAGAGTTTTGGCCCAATGCAACAGGTTTTGCATTATGTCCATGATCTCGAACTTTTTTCTTGGAGTGAGAAGCCAGGCTTGCCGCTTGAGAAAATGCCCTACTCAACTCTTCCAAGTCTATATCATTTTCACTATCTTCCTCTTCAGCAAAATCAAAACTCAACAAATCCTCTTTCCAGTCATTATTCAATGTAGAATAAGATGTAGGCAAAGGGACAGTATCATCAGCGGGGGCATTTGACCCTTCTCCACTGACAAGTTTTTGAACTCGTAGAGCTTTCCAGCTACATGGACACAGCAGATCAAACATAAGTATAATTAATCAATTCAGCAACTACAGCACCTGGTTGAAAGTTATGAGTCTTGGATATGAATTTCTCCTTGCAAATTAAGCATTTTTGTATTTAGTCACTAAACATAGATTCTCGTTATTAATCATTGTAATTTACATTTCTCCTTTTCGATCTCCCACTATCAAAATTCGCTAAACAAAACTGACGTGATCCACAGCAGTCCAAATCTTGCTCTTTCGTGTCTTTTTATTTAATGCTCAATAATTTATTTCCAGAGTGGGAGAGATATAAATTGAATGATGAAATGGCAACTTTTGCTTATTAAAACGCCCCTAGTAGTCGTTGCCGATGAGCTACAAAAAGTTGACACTAAAATGCTGGACTGGAGTTACTGAGCTGCTTTGGTATTTTTGGATGTCAGGGTGACAAAAAACAAAAAGAAAAGTCTCTGCACCTATCCTTTAAGTTTTTGAAAAAAGGATTTGGCTCAAGATTGCCCCTTTTATTAATTCCGGGGTTTTCCTGAATTTGAAAGTCATCCATACCCATCTCTTTTTTTATGTTATAAATGTGACACGAGGACTTTCAGTCCTCTGCTCTACCAGCTAAGCTATCTGTACCTTCAGCAAATTCACTGAATTGACTAGCACCAAAGGATTCAACCCTAGCAATTAATACAGGGATGATACTTGACCCTTGGCTCTTTATCTCTGATACAGATAACACAAATTGCATGGATGGATAACAAAAATAAATAAATTTTACAGGGATCTGAAACAAGAAAAATGATATAGTTGCAGGGATGGGAAATATATGTAATCCGAGTTAACCATATGCTGGAATTGAATTGAAAAGAGACCTTACAGGTGTGATCCCACATTCTGGTGTAACACAACCAAAAATGTATATTATCCGTTCTTCAATTTCGACACCCTTGCTTGAAATAGGAGCATAAACCTGAGGATACCAATTGAAAGATATGATAGAAAAGACAAGAGTAACAGCTACTGGATAAAGAAAATAATAATAATAGTAATAAAAGATGAAGTATTTCAGCCATAAAACGTCTTCAAAATGTATAACCTGTGCAAGGAGACAGAGATTGCTTTTACACAAACTGCACTCAAGAACATGAGACTTTATCATGCTATCTGAAACAGGCCAATCCTAACAGAAAATAGTTCATAGATCTTTAAAGAAGAAAAGTGTACATGAATCAAACAAAGACATTCAGTTATTAACTATATCTATCATTTCAAATATCCTTACTGGAAGTCCACCAATTTTTGTGGTATAATGATCAGCTACTTCATAGATATCATCAGCCCATGGTCCTGGCATGCCTAAAATAACTCCAACCATCTTCTTTCCTGAACCAACAAGGGCGACTGGGCGACCACAGATACAATTTGAATCTATTGGCAAAAGATCAAATACAAACTACCCTTATTTTACTCAGGATGGCGGCCGGTGTTCTATATGTGAAGATAGAAGGAGAGATTGGAGACAGAACCTCAGCGTCGTTGGTTTTCATCGTCGCCTTCGGTGACCGTCTTCCACCCCTTGTTGTCAGCGTTGCCGGTCATAGTTACTGGTCCATGAAACGTCAGAGTAGGCAGTAGGCTGGGTTAGGTCTACCTAGGACTGGGCATATAGGTTTGGTTCGGTTTTTGTCCGTTTCGATTCGGTTTGGAACTGGTTGGAATAATTATTACCAAACAAAAGTCATACTATTTTTCGGTTTTGGTTCGATTTGGTTTAGTTCGGTTGGTTCGGTTTGGATTTGTTAATTTTTAATAATATATGAAGATTTTTTTTGAATTTCTTTAGTTCGGTTCGGTTTTTATTGGTTTCGGTTCGGTTCAGTTTAATACTGTTTTGAAGAAATAGTATCAAACTCAAACCAAATTGCATACGGTCCGGTTTCGGTTCGGTTTAGTTCGGTTTGATACGATTCGGTTCGAATAAACCAAATCATTATGTCCATCCCTAAGTCTACCTTCGTAATGCTAAAATGTTCAAGATTTCAAAAAGGGAAAGTTGGTGAAATTATGAATAATGATAGGGGATATAAATTATTGAGAATAAGATGAGAAAAGTGTATGTGTAATAGTGTAATAGAATGAAGGATAAATACAAAAAGGTATGTGTAATATAGTGTATTATTTTTAAAATTATTGAGAAGATTATTTAGTTACGGTTGAAAAGGAACAATGGAAAGATATTTACGTTATGAAGGTAGTAGATTTTAGGTTTTAGTCTACATTTAGATATTATAACCGGACAATTTTTGTCCAAGTGCAAAAAGAGTTCTATTGGTACAAAAACTCTTACAAAAGGGATATGTGATACCATCACATTATTTAATTAATATATCACCTTACAATACTTTTACATCAAATGAAATTATAATAGGGGAAAATAAATAAAATACCCCAAACTCTGAAGGAGTGTGAGATGAACACCTCAAACTTGCATATTTAATTTAAATACTCCAAACTTTATATAAAAAGTTATTTTAGCATCATAGTAAAGTATTAGAAAATAGATATTCTTTCAAAAATATAAATATATGGTGTTAGTTGCATAATATAAAATATTTTAGAATTCATGAAGATAGAATTAACACTCTAAATTCTATTACAAAATAGATATTGTTACCCCCAATCTATATATGTCACGCCCCAGACCGCAATCCAAGCGCGTGTACAACCGCCGTATAATCAAGTGACGTCACCCGCGAGTCAACCTCACTTAATTACACAAGGCGTTCGAGAATATAAACCATCCATACTCAGTAGTAAACATACGTAACAACATCACATTTAAACCAATGAATAGCGGAAATATTCAACGGTAAGTCATAAGCCACAACCGGCCAACAACATGGGCGTGCAAGCCCCAAAAGTAGTTTATAACAAATAAAAATATCCATGAGCAATGTTTAGTAATTTGAAAGGAAATGAGGAAGATCGAACCACGTCTTTCTTGACTTGATGTCACCCGTAGAAAGGTGCAGGTAGCAAGCCCTAGCTTCAACCTGAAAATGGTGGGCCCCCCCGAAGGGGTCAGTACAAGTACCGAGCGAGTAGCAGGCTAAATATAGAATAACTAGCGTTTCAAGTATAAGACCCAAACATAGGGTGATACTTAAATAAATAGTCTTTCCCCCAAGTTATGAAATACTTATTAGTATGTATATATATATACTTGGAAAATATCCGATCCGTAGATCAGCATTTTATTTGGGAAAAATAGTAATAGTCAATATTCTTGACTAAAAACTCCAACCCACCCATATACCTATAAGTGTATGGACTCCTCCTTGTCCCTATTTGTATATCATAATCTATGAGTTTTAGGATCATAATCCTTGGATACTCCACCGATTTGTGAGTGTTAAGGACTCATAAGTCCTAGGGTCCTCCACCAAGTTTTGAGTGTTAAGTACTTTTAAGTACTAGGGTCCTCCGCCAAGTTTGAGTGTTAAGGACTTTTAAGTCCTAGGGTCCTCCACCAAGTTTTGAGTGTTAAGTACTTTTAAGTACTAGGGTCCTCCACCAAGTTTGAGTGTTAAGTACTTTTAAGTACCAGGGTCCTCCACCAAGTTTTGAGTGTTAAGTACTTTTTAAGTACTAGGGTCCTCCACCAAGTTTGAGTGTTAAGTACTTTTTAAGTACTAGGGTCCTCCACCAAGTTTTCCCATGATCAACCTCCTATCAACCTAGATAGAGTCTATATCATACTTAGTTACTCATAACTAATCCAATACATAAATCTTATGTATCACAATCCATGCAAAACCACGCATTTATATAGATTTATAATTAATTAATACCAACCGGTATTAATTAAATCCTCTGTTCTTCGGTCCACGTTTTCGTTGACCGCCATTTCATGCCTTGTGTGTATCAACTTAATTATCATATAATTAAGTTAATAATATTCCTTTGTGCTTCAAATACACTTCAAGCAAATATGCATTCCAAATAATTCTTCATATCATATTCCATGCATCAACAATTAATTTCTTTCATACAAACTTAACCCTATTGGCTAATCACATGTTTAAATATCTTTTAAACATCATTATGAGCTCATATAACATTTATTTAGGTAATCTCATAATTAACCCACAAGTTATAAGATATTAAGCCGTCCACTCACCTTGAATTAGCGTTATGAAGTTCTACCCTTCTTGGTTGAACTCCGGTGAAACTCCGACGACTTTTGGTCAACTCCGGCGACAACTCCGGCGGTTTTTCCAACTTTGTGAAATCACTTGAAATACCCTTCACAAGTTCCTAACAAGGTATTATAATCATAAAACTCATATTAATACAAATAACCTCAAAACGGTTATTTTCCGGTGAACCGGTCGTTTTGGCTTCTAAGTCCGTTCTTGGACATAGAATCACTTTCCAACCCATTAATCCATACTTATAACATGTAGAATCCTCTTAAGGATTCTTCACATGATATATATCTCATATGGTAGAAGAAAAATAAAGAAAAAGTTATAATAAGGTCATTACCTTAATTATTTCACACTTTTAGCACTTTAGCTCCTTTTTGGGTGATTCTTCCTTGATGAGCTCTCTTCAACAATGGAGAAGGAAGGTGGGAAGCTCTCTTGCTCTTTCTGGATGAAGTCTGGCCGAGAATGATGGGGAGAGGGGGATAGGGGTTGCCCTTTGTCTCATTGATCAATGAGTGTACATGGGGGGTCCACTCCCTTTTGTTTGATGCCTTTTATTTCACTTCACACACACCTCTCCCATGCCTCTCTATCACTCCAGCCGGCCAAGCCCTCCATTTGAGTGGAAAAAAACGTGGGTTGGCCCCCACTCATGTGGGAGGTCAACCCCTTTTGTCCCGAAGTGTACAATCGGTCCTCAAAGTTGTATTTTTCGACTGTTTTAATCATAATTTATTTTATCGGGTAAAATAAAATATATTATGTGTTCCCCATCATAACGCCCCTTTGAAATAATATATATTCCAAAACCTTAATTTGGAAGTCTCCGAAATTCATTTTCGGGCTGTTATCTGTTTAATTGTCGGTACCGGTAATTGGGCTTCTTTTGACCAATCGGTCAACCCCAGGCCTTCCCATGCCCCAAATAAGATGTCCACCACCATATAAATATTATTTCGACCCATAAGAATAATTTATGTGATCTCGGGAATATCGGGCGGCCCCCGCTCCCGGTGTGGGTCCCACGTGCAATTTACTATTCACGCGAAAGAAATAATAAAAATTTACAACTTCGTAAATTCATTAATCCTTTGATAAGGTTCAATACATTATTTACATAAAAGTAAATATATTTGGGGACGGTGTTACAATATAATTGCAACATTTTTAATTTTCTATTTTAAATTATGCAATTAACCGCATAAATTTACATTTTTGAAAGAAGGAATACATGACAATGGTGCAAAAACAACTTTTTATTTAAAGTTTAGAGTATTTAAATTTCATATGCAAGTTAGGGGTGTTTACCTCACACCCATTCAAAGTTTGGGGTATTTTTATTAATTTTCCCTTATAACAGTCACATCATTTGTTTGTAAGTTTTTTGTAAGTGTGTTTGTATTTCTAGTATTTTTCATGTTAAAATGGTCTTATTTTTCTATCTTTCGCTCTCTTTTTCAAACTCTAATGTAATAAGGTTTTTTTTAAAGGAAATGACCTATGATCAAATTCTGATACGGCCACCTTCGAAGAAGCAGCACAAATCGCTGACCACCGAAGTGGCAAAACAGAGTTCTTATAGACCTTAAGGGTAACCGTACTCTTCACCACTTCACTATACTCATAAGAATCAAAGGATCCTCGTCGTCCCTGAACAGACATATAAAAGTTTACCCAAAACCAAGTGAATCTTTTTGCTGAACGTATGGGAGTTTCAAGGCAATTACCCTTTATCATGACTAAATTACATATCTCAAAACTACAACGAACACAAACAATCCAAGAACCAGACAAATTGACAAACAAAAGAAAGATAAATTTTGAAATAAAAAAATCAAGCTCGAATCTTCTTTTTCCAAACTCTCTTAGATACAAGTTCACTTTTATGGCGGTGGTTCACCCCATGGATGAAACACTCTTGTCTTGAGTTCCGATCAATCTTCCTTTGCTAGCCGAAATCAGGTCATCGCCAACCTCTTCGTCCATCATCAGCCTACTACTCATCTGCCAATTAAGAATATCCAAAAACTAATTTCGTCAACATACTATGCGGCGCCCAAACCCTAGGGCAAATTGCCCTAGGGTTCCTAGGTTTTCGTAGGGTTCGTTTTGTTCCGGCAGTGGCTTTGTCACATAGTTTGGCAATTTATTTGGCTCCTCTTGTGCACGCTAGCAATAGGCGCAACATTATACTACCTCCGTCCCGTTGGAATGTTCCCACTTTCCTTTTTTGGATGTCCCAATGGAAAGTTCTCATTTCCCTAAATGGAAAGTTATCCTACATCAAAACAGTGTCAAACAGTGCAAAACAGTGTCAAACAGTGTCCAAACAGTGTCCAAACAGTAAAATTTACCCCCTGGTAAGTTTATTTCCTTAATATGTGTGTAGGTCAAACTGGGAACATTCCAACGGGACGGAGGGAGTAGTAAGGCAGCGAAGACTTTAATTGCAGGCTTCACTGTGTCGTGGGTGAGATGCAATCCCTGGAATGCAAAAACAGGTGTAGACCTGGTCCGATCATGGTGAACGGCGATTTAAGAGACAGAAAGAGACCGGGGATAAAAAGGGATGACGAGATGAGCAAGGAAGAAGAAGTATTGAAAGCTCACCCCCCTCCTGAACCTCCACCTTGGAGCGAACACAGAACCAAGGATCGAAGGTCGACGTTACATGGTTGGATTTGTTCACATGCACTCTTGTGCTCTAATTTTTGTTTGAGTTTTATTTTTTGCTATGTCGTACTTTTTTATTCAGTGAATAATTGTGAGTTGTGGGTGCTTTTGTTGTGAGAAAGAGTGGAATCAATCAGGCTAGTCTAGCCAATAATAGCTTCAAAGCTCTCGCATGTTTAGTGATTAGGCTCTCTCATTTGGGCATGGTCTATTCAGTGTCTCATGAGAAAGTGAGGGGGCTTGTTGGCTATACAAAATCTAGATGGAGACTTAATTTAGTGATATGTTGGAATGTTTGATTTTATGAATTTAATAAATGCCTTTTTCTTAAAAAAAGATCACTTTATATCAATATTAATGCTCTACGTTATTCCATTTCTTGTCACAATCATTGCATTTTTTCATATTCACTACATTAAATACGAATTACTCATCGCGTTTACTACTCATTGCCCTAAAATTCAATGCACATTGTTTTCGATCATCTTCAACTTACCTAGGGTTCTTGTCGACCCTAGTGCGGTTGGATGGTGGTGAGCGCCGGAGGACGGCAAACCCATATGCTCGCAAACCCAAATTTCATTAGATAGAAGGAGGAGGAGGAGGAGGAGGAGGAGGAGGAGGAGGAGGAAGAGGAGGAGGGGGAGGAGGAGGAGGGGGAGGAGGGGGAGGAGGGGGAGGAGGAGGAGAAGACGAAGATGAAGATGATGAAGACGAAGAAGAAGAAGAAGAAGACGAAGAAGGAGAAGACGACGACGAAGAAGAAGGAGAAGAAGAAGAAGGAGAAGGAGGGGGAGGAGGAGGAGACGAAGACGAAGAAGAAGAAGACGAAGAAGGTGACGAAGAAGACGACGAAAAAGGAGGAGAAGACGACGAAGAAGGTGACGAAGAAGACGACGAAAAAGGAGGAGAAGACGACGAAGAAGAAGGAGAAGAAGGAGGAGGAGGAGGGGGAGGGGGAGGGGAGGGGGAGGAGGAGGAATTCATCTTCTTCATCAATTTATCTTAGTTAAATTCATTTCACTCAATTTTAATTTGTTAATTATGAACTCTTAATGTTATCATTTTGTTATTGGTTAATGTTATACGATGACAAGGTTTTCGGCTAGATTTGATATGGTTAAAGTTCGACGGATCTATTTGTTAAGTAATAACTGCATTAAGCCCGTCTAATCATAAGGATAAGGATGTTTTTACTGGACTATTTTCAATTCAAGACCAAACTAGACCAGATCAATTCAGAACAGACCAGTTCAGGCCAAACCATAGCAGAACCGATTTGGACAGTTATAAAATATACAAATATCAGACATTTGTCAGACCGGACCAGACCAGTTCGGACCAGACCAGACCAACAAATTTCAGTCCAGGTAAAAACATCTGAATAGTACTAGTTGGAAGGTGAAGGTAGTAATCAGTTGGAAGGTAAAGGTTTATGACAAAATTAATATTCATATAATTCTTCCTCAGGAAAAGGGTTAGATAGGCTCTCGAACTTACATAAAAAGGTCAAATAAGCCCTTATTTAGGATGCTCTGTCCGCCCGTCATCATTTGGGGTGGTTCCCAGTGAAATTTTTTGATGAATTTTTTGAACAACTTATTCATTAAGTCTAGGTTACTCATACCAAATTTCGGCTAACAATTCAATCGGGAAGGCATTCAAATGAATTTTTAAAAATAACTGTGCAGTTATCTTTAAGAATTCTTTTGAATACCTTCCCGATTGAAGTTTTAGCTTAAATTTGGTATGAGTAAACTAGACTTAATGAATAAAATGCTCAAACAATTTCATCAAAAAATTCCACCGGGAACCGCCCCAAATGACGACGGCCGGACAGAGCCTCCTATATAAGGGCTTATTTGACCTTTTTATGTAAGTTCGAGGGCATATTTGACCATTTGTCCTTCTTCCTCCGTCCCTTAAAACTTCGTCAATTAAGTATTTAAGTTTGATTGACACGGAGATTAATAAAGTGAAAATTGTGTGATCAAAATTGTGCAGAGAAAGAATTATCTGGAATTATTTTTTGCATCAGTTCCCCTCTCCCCTACCATTTTCAAGGATCAAATCAATGAAAAAATACGGAGTAGAAATTATTATATCTATTTATATGACGTGACGCCATGCTCTAATGTGATTGGTCAAAACAGCAAGATAGGAACCAATCCTGCTTGAATCCTACTTATAATTGGTTTTTTCTCTGATGCCACCCTATTTTAGAGGGCACCAATGCACCACTTTCCAGAGGCTGACATGTGTGCAAATATGGCCATGTGTCCTGGTCATATAGTCAAACACTCACATATTTAATAAAATTGCACCAGCAGTCCTTCTAACTCCAAGCCTCTGGCGTTAACCTACGGCCGTCAAGTCTGGATCGAGAGTTCTCAACCAAACAAACAGTCCGCTCTCCTCTTGGGAAATACGGAGTACGAACCGATCGATTTTTCTCAACCAAACAAGCAGTCCTTGATCTGCTAGGGGTCTCACCTGCATCTTCTTCTCCATTGAACAATCAACTATGTTGCTCAACCCACACACTCATGGCTGTATCGACACTCAAATCAACAATCAAAAGGGGCTCACATAGCCTCTCTCACTCGTCGACCGCCATGCTCTCTTTCCTGGTGCAGCATCCCCAATTTCAGTAGGCTGACGGCATCTCCAATTTTCCATCGAGCTTGATCGATCGATTTCCAAGAAGACTTCATCGATTCATTGCTCGTTTCTCCGCCATTCCAGAGGCTTCATTGATCCCCTTTTGTCGCCGGCAACCGGCAATCGTAGTACACATAACGATCAGCCGCTGGTGCATTATTCTTGATTTTCAGGTATTTTCATAAATTCATCTATAAACGATTGCCAATTGAATGTCTTGATACTTTGAACAATCAATAGTGATAAGAATGGTTTGATTGCTACACGTGGGTCAGATAAGAAAGTAGCAGGAGAAACAGAGAAGGCTAGCTATTAGCTAAGGTATGATATTGCCAATATGCCTTCGTTCTGTTTTTAATTTTCTTGGGTAATCTTAATCAAGTAGACTTTTGTACTTGTATTGCTGTGTTTACAATCTTTTTATCCAGTGCCGGCCATAAGACCAGTTAGCCTAGGCAATTGGATGGCCAAATCTTGTTATCTAGAGCCTCAATTTTCAATATACCAAGTAATATAAAGTAGTACTCCGTAAGGATTTGGATTTTCCTATTGTTCGGTACTCGATTCTCCGATTGAATGTTAAGTCAATTCAACAATTCGTTCCTTTTATTCTTTCCCTCTTTTCTTAATTAGTCAATTCCTCCGGCCATCAAGGACCATCATAGATTGAGTTTCAGAATTTGAACCTGGGTATGAGAATTGAGCAAATTTGATAGTAACACAATGCGGTGTGTGTAAATGTGTAATGGTGTTGCCAATAGGTAAACTATATTGTTGTTCGGATTTTATTTTTTCATTATTTGCCCTTTTCCAATTAATAATGCTTTTAAGTATGTAATGATCATTATTCAATAATTACTGTTAACCGTTGTGCACTAATATTTTACATTTGTATTCATATTAATCATTTAGTTAGTTGGTGACTAATATTTTATAATCATTAACTGCAATAGTTAATTTTTATTTGCTGATGATCATTTTTTATTAACTATATGTATAAATATGCTAAAATGTGGATTAGCTATGTTATCGATTGAGATAAAGTATTAGTTAGTTTTGATTGGAGTGACGGTCCTACTAGTTTTGCACTTCAAAAAGAAACGGGAACTACCTATTTATAAGTACACTTTTTGGAGCATTTTATTAGTTTTGCACTTCAAAACGCAAGGTGAACTCCCTATTTAGAAGTACACTTTTTAGAGCATTTTATATATGTTACATTTATCTTATTTTCTAATGACTCTGTTATAGAAATATGATATACTAGTATGAATGTTAAAATTTTCCGCCTAGGGCCTCCAAAACGCTAGAGCCGGCCCTGTTTTTATCATGACTTTTATCAGAATTTTATCATACAGAGTAATTTCTTATATTACTGTGTTTATTTTTTATAATTCCAGCCTTATAAATTAATAACAACACATCATTTCAGTAGCTATTTGTTGCAACTTGCAAGTTCCTGCATCGTGTATTCATTTCTGGCTGGAAGTCTGATTGCAATTATTAATTCAGGTACTGCCAATACTTGGTCTGAATGTGCATTCTAATCATAAAGATGTGGAATGTTATTAAACTCTCGTCAATCTAACCAATTAAGCCTCTAGAGTTGTACTATATTGCTTTGTCCCACCCCATAATTGTGTCTTTCAATTCTAGTTTGCTTAGCACATAATTGTGAGAGATCATAACTAAAGTCTGATGAAGTTTGTTTAACCTTAGCCACTAGAAAGTGTTACCCATTAACAATATTTCTTACATCAAAACTGGTTTACCTCCACATGATTCATATCCTAATTCTTAGAGGGAAAAAGATTAGAAAAAACATGTGAAAATTTTGCTCTAGAAACCAAGCAGATAAAAAACTGGTTTGACTACATTGACAGTTGAAAGGGACAGATGAAATGGAAGTTGCAATTGCAATAGTAACATAGAAAAAAAATGCTTTTCACTTTTAAAAGAAAGGTGGAAAATGGCTTAGACTGTGGGGGAAGACTACCTCTTTTATGTCTTTTAATATGATGAAGAAGTACTTTGAAAATCCTGTTGTAATTTCTTTTCTTCTCCAACTATAGGTTTCAAATTGAAAATGAGTCGAAAAATGGAGAGTATTTGTCCATTCTAAGCATGCAGTTAGTTTCCAACCCCATAAATGCATCTCTTAAATGCGATGATTTAAATTAGTGGCATGATGCATCTCCTATTAACTCAAATAGTATTTCCCTCAGTCCCACTTTGCAAGCTAAAAATATCACTTTTTCTAATTTTATTTTTATCTTTTCACCTTTGGCTTTTTGACCTCGTTCTACTTTTCTTCTTTTGGGGGGATGCAATTGTAAAATAACAACTATCCTCTTTGTTTTCAAAAATCCACTACAAATCCAAATGCTTCTCACATTATGACAGAGAGAGTATAATTTTTGTATCATCAGGATAAATTTCAGAAATAGAGGGTCTTGAATCTACAGAATCAATTTAGAATATAGGCATACTTTAAGAAACAAATCTGTATGGGTTTTCCCCTCATACAATATCAGTAATGCTTGAGCCCCTACTCGCAAAAGGGTATTAAATAATCTTTTATTGCACAGAGGGAACAAGACATTATTTTGATTTACAAAGTAACAACATTCATAAACAACAATACTGAGAAATCAAGCTTCCAACAAAAACAAGTTGTTGACTATGCTGTTTAAATGCATACATAATCAACTGAATGAATTTTGTGCGATGGAACAGCCGCCATTGTCAGTGCTGAGTCTTCTCTTCCATTTTCGGATTTTCTTCTTCTTTGAGTATTGAATCATTTTCTCCACTCTCCAGCAGTCCAGGTAAAGGTATATGTATTATTAATTATTATAGTCATTAAGATAGTTCAAAAATATGTTTTGGTTTTCTTGAGACACTTTTGAAATCCCAGTTGGCAGTTGCTTTCCAGGTAAAGGTCATTGGATATTGTATCTTTTGGTGTGCTTGAAATCTTTCAAGATTAAGTATGTTTTAAAAATGAATATTGTATAATCGGTTTGGTTATAATGATGGTCCTAACTTTCACAGTTTCACCCTTAGACTCTTAGGATAGTCCAACGCTTGAGTAGTTAAGAACAGCCTTGTAGTGTCCCTTTACTTTCTCCCATTATGTTGGTGACTAGTGAGGAAGTAGGATGTGTGTGGTGTTTTGACAGGCCACCTCAAGTCTCCTAGAAGTCAAAGTAAAAAGACACAATTGATAGCTTCTCTATATTAAGTGTCACTTATGTTACAAAAACAGAGTAATGGATAGACAAAGACACACAAATAGGTCTGCAATATATTTCAGTTTGCTGCACTAAACCAAAATAAAGATTACATCCATGTTTTTATACTACTAAAACTATAACAAACTTCTCGTTAAAGTAGGATCATATCCCACAACTAAGTAACAACTTCCGTAATAAAATTGAACCACACACCTACTAATTTATTGACTCCTAAAGTACTCCAACTAACACTTTGACTCAATAAACTCGAACTGCAAATAATACGGAATATTTTTTTTTTGAATCAAATCCCAACAACTTACTCATGTTGCATGTTCTACTTCAGTGCAAGTCATAGCTTTTTATTTCAATTATTTTGACTTTCAGAAGTGTGATACTATGATTGATATTTTTGTGCTAACTGCTAAGAACTGCACGGTTGTTGTGATAGGATTTTTAAGGCTTTATGCACATGAATTTACATGAGTATAATCTTTTTCGTGTAAAATATTGTTATGAGAGTCAATCATAAATGGATTTGATTTTTTTTTACATTTGCTTTATGAGTGCATTTATGATCTCATATTGACTCACTATACTATGTTCGCGGTTAGCAGAAACGTGAAGGATATCCACCAGGTTTCATAATTGATTTTGCATGTGATGCCTATGGAAGTTCAATATTAGCGATCAGCAATTTGGAAGCTCATTCCCAGGTTTATTTCATTATTTTTGGCAGTCTAGCAATCTACAGTATGTTCATGTATTATTCATTTATTCATGAACACGAGTTTTCTTTTTTGGCATTTTTATTTGCTTCCATTGCATTCCACTATTAGGAGTATTTGCCATGATCAGTATGAATATGGAAACCCAAGTTATATAGTATTAGCTCCAGCTTCCATCTCAAAGTTATGTTCTTCTTGTTCACTTTTCATAATTCTTTTTTCATAGTATGAATAAATATTGAGTTCAATTTTCATAGTTCTTTCTTCATAGTATGAATATCGAGTTCTTTTTTTATAGTTCAATAGAACTTTATTGTCAAAGTGTAGTTTCTAACTTTCTAAGCATATTGAGATTAACCGCTAATACTAATTTGGGTATTGTCAGTCAAGAGCTAACTTTATTGTCAACCATGTATCATATAACGAAACTGTAACTTGTTTCTTGGACGGATGAGTACTCTACTCCTATTTTTGGTATATAGAGTGAATGAAAAATATTCGTAATGCTGAATGGGGATGGATATGGATTCAATTCGGTTTTCTGTCCAAATATTTGTTTGCACATACTAATTGTGTTGGGGTGAAACTACTTCACTGTCAATCTGGCTTTTAGAAGAATGGATGCAGATAGGGCTGATTTTTTGTTCAATTCTGGTTCATAATCGGGTCTTAGTCCACGCTCGGAGAAGGATTTATACCATTATATGTCTAAATGGAAGCGTTAGATGACAGATTTAGGATTAGTTTTTTGGTCCTGGAATAGAGATCACTTCCACAACATTTATATCAACTTTCCCTGCATACAAGGAAATGAACTTTCTTTTTAATTTTTATGACAGTTCAAGCTAGACAATTGCAAGGAAATGTAGTATTTTTTGCAAAGAATATTTTAATTTGTGATATTATCTTGAAACCGAGTTGGCCGACTAATCGCTGACTAATAGAAGCCTAGTCCGCCTAGGCGCTAGGCGGTGCTTGACCGCCCGATTAGCGCCTAGCGAATTTTAGAACATTAGTTGTACCATTTCTTGGGTCGCAAACACTTGTACGTGAACTTGCTCATGACTTGAGGTGCAAGACGACAGTCTCTTATAGAGCTTGGTTTCACAAGGGATAGGTGGGAGGCTGGGCACAGAGTATGAAACATATTAACCTTTGCCACGGTAAGAGGCGCATCTCATATGGTTCCATATGCTCATCCCTCTAGAGCTTTGCATCTCTTCAGAGACTTTATAAATGGACGAAGGGTGCCAAACACAACTCGCCCCTCCGTTGATGAACGAGTCAAGTTCCAGACTTCAAATTGCAGCTTGAATGAGCCAAACGCAACTCGAACCTCATAGGTCTTTTTATTATTAAATGTGAGTGGATCGCCATTAAATATTAGTAGCCTTGCCATGAATCATTTGTACTTTATTCTGAACATATAAAAAAGTTTAATATTATGAAGCCAGATACCCGTTGAAAAAAGGTGTTGAAATATTTCATTTTCCATATTTGTTTGAGTAGGTGTTCTTACAAAGTGACCCTTACTTTTGTTCAGGCATAAATTTGATTTTGCACCTCTCCTATATTTGATATTTGCATTTTTTTAATCAAATAATGACTTTGATCAGTGAATTGGGGAAGCAGATAATATCAAGCCCATAGTGAAAAAGTATGTAATAGCTTAATAGTTGTAGAATATTTGTCAAGCTTTTAAGATATTACAATAATTGAGGTACAACAATAATGATATAATTTTTGTACAATGACAGAGTAATATTTTTCCATGCCTGTTTGGATAATTATGAATAATCAAACGATACAAATGGAATAAATTTTATTTCAAATTGAGATTATGCTGCCATGGCCAAATTTAGTTGGGAGTAAGATATAGGGTGATGTTGAATTGAATTATTATTTTCTTACCTGTTCTGATTCAGGATGAGGATGCATTGTCTAGAAAGGAGCATATAAGGTTATTATGTTCATGCTCCAAAAAAGAATAAATAAAGTTATTCCCATATTGCTCAGGTAAAGTGCCAATTGTTTACGCCTCTAAAATCATTTAGTGTGCCTTACGTTCATTTTTATACATTTCACATTTTCAAAAACAAAGTATTGCAAATACCAAATCTGAATCATCCCTTCATTTATTTGGTCTTCTAACAATTCAAAATCTATAAGAATTTTATATTTAGTGATAAAAGTACTAGTTTTTCATGGAAGAGTAACCTCTGAAACAGACACATGTATATTACCCCAAACTTCTCGTGAAGTGGCCTCAAAGTATCTAGGTTACATCAAGGAAACTTGTGACAAGATCAGGATATGAGCTTTCAAAGAAAATTGGAAGGATTTCATATCTAACTCAAGGGATCTATTTAACATGTCAAAATAGCAAAAGTCATCAATCAACCATACAATAAGGAAAGTCATAACTCCTTAGCAATCAAACAATTTTTTGAAACACAATTGTAAAATGCAAGCATGGCACACGCCAATTTTATTTTAGTAATAAAACATTCACCAAACTGCTTTGTTATGTCCGTAGAAAACATAAAAAACAAATGTTATTTGGAATAATTAAACTTCAATCAAAAACTTCATTACACATATCCTTCTTTGTTTTAACCAATTTCTTGGTTTCCTGTCTCAATCTTCCCCCAATTTTGAAATGACTGCCCAATTATTTGATCTTTGATGCTGTTATAAGAATTGTTGACTAGATCAATTGCAATCCGCATCCTAGACTCATCATTGACCTGTGTCGGTGCGTTAACCATGGCTTATTAGCATTATATAAAGTCGATTGTAGTAAAAAAAATGATTTCATTACCTTTATGTTATAGACGTCATCCCATTCACACTCCTTCATCCACGTCGCTACCCAAACTCCACAATCGTTCCTGAAATGATGAAATTAATAGATGGAATGTTTGAACATTAACACAATGCTACAATAATTAATAACCAACCACTCATATAGTTTCAATATAAGGTAAGATTCTTACGAGCCTGTTGCTTGTTGTCCAATATTATGTGGTTCAACAATTTTGAATTCGGAGATTCGTGGCTTTGGTGTTGTGCTGGGGTACTGGTAAAATGAGTTGTCCAACAACATGTGCTCCCTAAAAATTCCCTGTACGTAAAGTATATTGAATAAACAATACTAATGTACGGAGTGTCATTCCAAATAATTAACTAAAATTATTTACACAATAGTCTTTACCACAAGTCTTGCAATCCTTCTCCTTTCATCCGCAGTTGTGGTGCACTTTTTGAAATCCAATAATATCAACAGTTTTTTGTTCATGTCAATCACCAACAAGAACCAGTGCAATTTTCCGTCATTTATGGGAACAAATACCTACATGGCATTATTTAAGTTCAATATGGAGCCCATATTTAAAAAAGAAATTTGAACTGGATTTCTTTTTTAAAAAAATCAATTGACCTTCGTTAATTCTTCTACTCTACCCATAAACCGATCCTTGTAGAACCCCATCAGTGTTGTTGGACTTGTAGTCCAGCTTAGAACATATTGCTGCCAACACATGTAAATAAAAATATCAAAGGAATTAACTTATTTGAAAATTAAATTTACATTAATTTGTTTTGAAATATATTACCGCAAATACAGTTGGCAAGAACCAACAGGCTGCATTTTGACACACTAAGCGTTGTTGAAAGGTGAGCATACAGGCAACCAATGTAAGCACCTAGAGAATTGTAATGGTAGCTTAAAAATAATATTATACAAATTATTGTTTCACTAAATATAAAATAATGTATCAAATCAAAACAAAATATTTAGATGTCACCTCTCCATCAACCATTTCCTTTGGGACAAGTGTTTTCAGTGTTTCTCGATCCCCTTTTGTGAAATCAGTTTCAATTAATATTTCTTTCCTATATAATGATTAAAAATAAAATCTATTAATATATAATAGCAACAGTCTGTACTGCAAGGCAACCGACTATTCCTACAAAAGAAGTCAAACTGTCACGCATGAATAAGTTACTTGGCAAGATGTTATCTTTTCAAGAAGATAGTCACATTTCTTAGCCAATAAAAATGAATGTTTTATCATTAGGATCGGATTAAACACAATTAGAATTTCCTGTATATAAATAATAGAATGTGTGCATCAATCAACATGATAATAAGATGTGAATCAAAGCAAATCCCCATGGGCTGTCAAGCTTCATGGAGTTCCTGCCTAGGTTTTTTATCCAACCCTGGAATGTCCACTGGAACACATATTCCAGAAGAGTCTAAGGGGTATGGTTTTAAATTAGTTACTCCTCACTACTAATTCAAGTTTAGCTAACCGAATTTGCTACCCTGATTAGAAAAGGCAGGAGAGGGTTGGATGAATCTCCAGATACATGTAAGTAGGATTCCAATTACGGTTTAGATGCACAAAAAATGTATTACTACTCACATTTTAAGTTTTATTTTGAATTTCTATGCCCTACCGACTTGGAGATTATACAGATAGCTTGAGTAGAAGCAATTCTAAAAGTAGGAGATTTGATTAAAATCGAAAACTTAAGAATACAAGCTTCATTATATGTCTTGGTCTGAATTTTAAATAGAAATATAAAATCGATACAGAGGTGCATACTATTACTTTTACTATCAGAATAAACAGAGAAATCCAAGCCTACTCAATAAAAAAAACAGCACAAAAAAAAAAAGAGAATCATTCGAAAAAAATATAGGATAGATGGAAGATCGAAAACCACTTCTGAAATGTTACTGACGATTTCATTTTGAGTGCACCTTCATCTTAAATTAAAAGTGAAATGAGTTATGTGCAACTGACAACCATTAATAATAAAAATATGCTCCCTAAGATAATAATAATAATAACAACCATTAATAATACGAAATCAGAAAAATATACTCCCTAAGATAATAATAACAATAACAATAACAACAACAACAACAATGACGACAATAATAATAATAATAATAATAATAATAATAATAATAATAATAATAATAATAATAATAATAATAATAATAAAATGGCAGTGTGGGATTATGAAATTGTAAATATAAAATTGGCGATGAAAAAATAGCCTTTGAAATATATTTTGTGAGTGTGTGTTTATAGTACATATCTAAAATTAAAAAAGTCACCTAGACAAGATTATGAGTCATTAGATAAGGGTATATCAATAACTTTATTGACCACTAACTTTGACATTCTCTGCCTTTCTGTTTACAAAACATTAGTGTTATTAATTATCTATTCATAGTGTTGGGATATTCTTAGTAAATTGCAGATATTTTGCTTTTTATTAATTTGTTTAATTTTTTAAAGTAAATTATAGCCACCACATTTAAGTATTTGGGGTCTAATTTCCTCCCGTGCAATGCAGGGTAATATACTAGCAATGATTAAAAAAAACAAAATATGTTTTTGATATATTTGAAATTGAAAGTAGATTAGACACAAACCCATCGTGCCGAGCATCCTTGTTCCGGCCAAATATGTATGCAACAACCGCAGCTTCAATTTCTTCTAATATCATGTTTGGAGGAGGTCTAAACACAACAGGTATCCACTGCAAAATGTGTAAAAGTTATGAACAACATATTTACGTTACTTCAGTACTAATATAAAAGAGTCAGAGAAAGTTTATTTACATCGGGTATCTTGATTCCCGATGATCTTCCATCATATAACGGAGTATTCATTGGGTTGTAGTTAAGATAACATGCAGATGAGTTTCCTTCGGTTTTGTGTTTGAACAATCTCCTTCCAATTTGAAGTCCTGTCTTCTGTTGAGCACTTTTTTTTCTTTCATTGGTTGGTGGAGACGTAAGCTTCTCTTCAAGAGGAGAGTTGAATATTTTCATGAAGTTGGTGTTCGTTGGGCTTCCCAAAGGATAGTTTTTGGGACTGGAGAATGAGGTGACCATTAAAGGTGCTCCACAAAGAGGCTGCTGTGAAGTGTACCCATTGGTGGTGGAGTTTTTGACAATAGCTTGGTTTAGATTATTGACAACCTTTGTCAGCTCTTCTACAGATGTTCGAAGATCCTTAAACTCTTCTCTTGTGACCTTTGAAATGTACATAGAAATATAGAAGGTATTAGTAGTACCAAATTGGTCAAACAATACATAGTATAGTACTAGAATAAAAAAAAGTAAATGATACCATGTCTTCTTTTGCATTGTTGTGTTTGCAGGAACTCAGTCGACGGTGCGGGCTATCTACCTCTTTTTCATCGGAGTTCATAGTGGGAACGCTTTCACATTTGCTTAACATGGTAAATTTGAGATATTTAAGACATTAGACTATTACAATTAAGAGTGTATGCAATACATAATTTACCCAGAACAATAATAGTTTTACTCTAATTACCAGAAACTAAAGCTGCCTTATTTTCGTTTATCGAAGTCATCAATTTAGTTCATGAAAGAGAACATACCTTGATGATATTTCTATTAAGGACGCTGCTCTAATTTGTTTTTTTATTTCACGTGATGCAGAATGTGTTTCTCGTAGTGATTGTATTCTCTTAGCACGAGAACACAAATAGAGGGATCTGCTATTTGGAGCCATAACATTCAAATGTTGATAGGGGCAGGAAAAAGTAGTTCAAGTCTTAGTAAGAGTAAATAGTAGTAAATATGAAGTGGTAATGTCAGTACGTATGCTTGTGTTGGTTTGTATAGACTTTTGTACAATGTGTATTGGCAATAGGTCCATAAGCAGGACACATTGGTCCCATTGAAATGCTATTTTTGACATTACATTATAGTACAATTTGTATGAATTGCAATTTGTATGAATTGCTGTAAGTTTAGTACAGATTTTTTTTACAATGGCATCTGGACAAATTTTTATACCCCGTAGTAAAACTTGATTCACTTTTTGAAGAGTTCTGGTAATTTTAAAGTGCTCTAAACCTAGTAAACTTGATGTAGTAAGCTGTAAGCCATTAGAGAGTAAGGGTACAATGAAAATATCTATTTTTAGAGGTATAGGTTTCAAAAGTAAATGTTTGACAATTGTTTTATTTTTAAAGATAGCATTTTAATAGATACATAAAATGGAGTATCTAATTATTTGATACATCTTTAACATAATAGGAACCAAAAAACAATAAAGTTGAGCTTCTCAATAATGTACGCACAAATAGACAACCTTGTAAATCTTTAATGGGCGGGTACAGTTTTACACTTGCTCGACCCGTTACATGCCCCGTAACCGCCCCGTTTAGTTCAGGTACGGTTACCCGCACCATTACCCAACCCACAACATCACCTTATACTCCGTAAATACTTCACATATTATGTTTTTTTTACACCAGGAGGCATTGAGGGGAGTGGGTTTGGAGGGTCTGGGGTAAATTGAGATCAATCTCCCTAACCTGCTACAACCTAGTATAGCAGGTCAAATTAAAATGTGAACTTTGTATAAGCTATAAATAATCTCAACTATAGTTGATCTACTTTTATTAATCCCAATTACCAACTCTCAATTTTAGAAAAATATAAAAATATTTTTATAAATTTTCAAATTAAATGTTTTTAAACATGTAAAAGTTATTATGAAAATTCTACAAATGTAACGAATTTAAATATAGTTTTAGCCATTTTTTATTTATTTTCACTAAAAATTCTTTTTTTCTTTTTTTCCAATTTATTACTCCCAGTCATGTTAACAAGTTATGATTTGGTATTACTTTACTTTATTCAATTTTACATTTTCTGTTTTCAAAGAGTAAGATGTAACTACTTTTTTGTATGATTGAAAGCTTTCTTCTAGTTTTTTTCATGAAAATATATTTTATTTAATTTTTATGCTATGTTAATTCTAAAAATCTAAATTCTATGTTAGCCATTTTAGCATTTGTAATTTATTTTTATTTTATTTATTTTATATTATTATATTCTACAAATGATAAGATATAGTTTATCATTCAATTTTAGTGATTTGGGGCCTAGGTTTTGGATGTGCATGGTTGTTTTTAGAACTTCACTATAATAGAATTTATGTACTTCAATATTTGGTTAATGTTATTACCATGCAAGCCCAGATAGCTTTTACCATAAATTAAAGTTTCATTTATGTTTGTGATAAGTGATATCTGAATTTTATCAATTTAGGACCTCACAAATAAACACATTATCAATGTGACACCTAAAAGATGAAATGTGTCGATATAGGGTTTGGATGATGAAAAGCTTGCACCCATCCTAGTACTACTCTCGCCCAACCACTTTGGGTTGGGAAAATTATCTCCCTTTGTACTCTTTGTTATTTTTGTTTGCTTTCTTTTCTTTCCTTGTACTTTACTTATTTGTCTTTTTAATAAAAGCTCCTTTCTTTGTTAAAAAAAATTGATGAAAAGCTATCAATTTTTTACCTGAATGATTGAAAACTATTAATTTAGAACCTAAGTTATCATGAATTTTATTATTATTTTTAATTTAAAAAATTTAATTATTATTTAGTTTTATTCAAGTAATAAACTTTTGTGAATAAAAATTTATGCAAAATTAGCAATTGAATTAATAAAAAATGTGATAGTCAAAACCTATGAAATGTTAAGTCCTAGATTGATAGTTTTCCATCATCAGATCTCAGATGATTAGTCATCTATCGTTCAGGTCCTGAATTGATAAAATTCCCTCAAAATGTGTGAGCACAGGTAATCATAAAGCAATGGGAAAAATAAATCAAATACTTCATACTTGATATCAGTATTACTTAAATTCTATAAATTGAAAAATCGCAATTCGTAGTTTGAAATGCTTATCATGTTTTAAGCGTGATTCAAATCACAAATTCTATAAATATGTGCGTGTGAAATCAAATTATTTTAGCTACTTTTAAAAAAAAGTTATCCAGATAATACTAGAATTGAACTAATAGTTATAGTATATTACTTGTCGACTGTACATCCCACAACTAAGAAATATAGACAAATAAAAAATGCTTTTCTCCATGAATATTACTAAATTAAATTCAAAAGACATTCATAGGACTAATTTTAAAATAAAAAAAATGACATTTTCAATGGCAAATTTCAAAGACTCACAATCTATGAGTGACTTGTCATTCTCAAATAATTATAATGACTACACCATCATCATTATCATCATCATCATCATTAGCATCACCTTTACCACCGATTTTCAAACCATAACCTTCATCATCACCATTTTTTTAAGAAGGGGAAATGATTTTATTCAAATAATAAAGTAGAAAGTACATTGCATAAAGAAAATAAAAGAAAAAGGTACAAAAAAGGAAGGAAAAAACATAACGACAAAAGAAACTAGACCCAAGGGAAATCTCTGGATTGTGATCTGATTGTCATGTTGTGACACCGTTTGTTCTTCTGAGATTTCTTGTAGATTTTCAGTTGTGTGTTCACATTTTCTGTTGGCAGGTAGTTGTCTGAGTTGACAAACTTTGATTTGCGGCTAATCGATCTATTGAATTTGGACTTCTTAATTTCTTCCTGGTTTGATAAAGGGGGCTGATGATCACTTTTGGAAGCATGATCAAGAAAATTTTCTGAAAAGAAAGATTCGTCACAATGATCAAAGTTGTCTGATGCATCAGAGTATGCTTGGAGGAGATAATTTTGTGGTTCTTTCTCAAATGCGGGGGGTTGTTGCTTTTCGCTAAAAAAGGGGGCGTCGGTGATTCCAAGCTTCACATCTGGGGAGTTCCAGCCTAAAGAACCCTTGAATTTCCAAATTGGGAAATTTGGGGTCGAGCATGACTCTTTTTCCGTGGACATAACCGCCATCACCATCAACAACATCACCGTCATCATCATCACCATCAACATCATCACAATCACCATAAACATCATCATCACCACAATCATCACCATCATTACCATCAACATCACCACCATCATCACCATCATTACCATCAACATCACCACCCCACCATCATCAGTACTAGGATTATCATCACCATCACTAGCATCATCATCACCACCACCACCACCACCACCATCACCATCACCATCAACATCATTACTCTCACCACCATCACTATCACCACCATCACCACCATCACCATGACCATCATCACCATCACCATTAGCATTGTCAACATCATCACCACCATCATCAATATTATTAAAATCTACACCACCGTCATAATCATGACTAGCATCATCATCACCATCACCATCAAGATCACTAAGCATCACCACCACCACCACCATCATCATCATCACCATCACCATCAACATCACTAAGCATCACCACCATCATCATCATCACCATCAATATAATCACATTCACACACCCATCACCATTCGTATCACAATTACCATCATCGTCACCATTATCACAATCACCATAACCATAACGATAACCATCATCAAGCATCATCATCATTATCATCATCATCACATTCATACACCATTGCCATTATCATCACCATTATCGCGGGTATCATCTCATCATCATCACCATTAGCATCAAGATTACTGTCACCATCATCACCACCACCACCACCACCACCACTATAACCATCACCATTACCATCAATATCACCTCCACCACCATCACCACCACCATCAACATCCTCGCCATCATCATCATCATCACCATTACCAACATCATCATCACCATCACCATCATTACCAACATCATCATCACCAACACCATCATCACCAACACCATCATCAGCACTAGGATTACCATCACCACAACCACCACCATCACCATCATCACAATCACCATTACCATAACTACCATCACCATCACCATCGAAATCATCACATTAACACCACTCTCACCATCACAAGCATGACCACCATTAACATCATCACATTCATACCACCACCATCACCACCATCACCACCACCATCAACATCATTACTAGCACCACCATCACTATCACCACCACCACCATCATCATCATCACCACCACTATAACCATCACCATTACCATCAATATCACCTCCACCACCAACACCATCACAATCAACATCCTCGCCATCATCATCACCATCACCATCACCAACATTACAAACATCATCATCACCATCACCATCATTACCAACATCATCATCACCAACACCATCATCAGCACTAGGATTACCATCACCACAACCACCACCATCACCATCATCACAATCACCATTACCATAACTACCATCATCATCACCATCGAAATAATCACATTAACACCCCTGTCACCATCACTAACATGACCACCATTAACATCATCACATTCATACCACCACCATCACCACCACCATCAACATCATTACTATCACCACCATCACTATCACCACCACCATCATCACCACCACCACCACCACCATGACCATCATCACCATCACCATTAGCATTTTCATCAACATCATCACCACCATCATCAAAATTATTAAAATCTACATCATCATCATCATCATCATGACTAGCATCATCATCATCATCATCATCATCACCATCATCATCATCACCATCAATATAATCACATTCATACACCCATCACTATTCGTATCACCATTACCATCATCACAATCACCATAACCATAACCATCATCATCATCATCATCATCATCATCATCATCATCACCACCATCGAAATGATCACATTCATAACCATCACCTTCACTAGCATCACCACCAAAAATACCACCACCATAACCATTACCATTACCATCACCCTCACTATCACCTTATCAACATTATGACCATCACCTTCACCTTACCCATCAACATCATCACCATCCCCACCACCACCACCACCATCATCACTATTTCCACCACCACCACCGTCACCATCACCACCATCATCAATATCATTTCCATCACCATCAAATCATCAACATCGTCATCATCTTCATCCTCACCATCAACATCATCACATTCATACCACTATCAACATCATCACCACCACCATCATTATCACCACCACCACCACAATCATTATCACCACCACCACCATCACTAATATCACCACCTCATAATCTTCATCATTGTTACTTACAAACCCTCCTTACTCGTTCTTAAGTGAGAACTTCTCCTAAAATCTATAACCCGACCCGAATCGATATTTAGTAGATATAAATACAGATTTATGAATATAATGAAGATTGATTATGAAAATGTTAAAAGTGACTATAGTAATAACTTAGTTATAGTAACTTGTGTTTCAGTTTTCATCTTAAGTTTGGGATTAGGGTACTTATCTCACACCTCATTAAAGTTTGGGATATTTAAATTATTTTTGGGAAAGTTCCCGAAATGGGACTAAAAAAGTTTGAAAATTCCAAAATAGGACTTTCATGTTTTTATTCCCAAAATAGGACTAATTACTGCCAAATTTGGAAAATACTGCCATGTTTGAAGTCTGGTACTGCCAAAACATGACAGTAATTAGTCCTATTTTAGGAATAAAAACATGGAAGTCCTATTTTGGAATTTCGAAACTTTTTTAGTCCCATTTTGGGTAATATCTCATTACTTTTCCCTTTTATCTTTCAATATTGGTACTCCCCCGGTCTCGCTAAGATCGTCCCTTTTTTCCTTTTCCGGAAATCCCACTAAGATTTTCTCATGCCAAATTTGGTAAAGTTTGTGTGACTTTAAAGGGAAAAATATGTAAAATACCCCAAATGTTGAAGGGGTGTGAGATGAGCACCCCAAACTTGCATATGTAATTTAAATACCCCAAACTTTATATAAAAAGTTATTTGAACACCATTGTCAAGTATTATTTCTTTCAAAAATGTAAATTTATGGTGTTAATTATATTGCGTAATTTAAAATATTTTAAAATTCATGAAGACACAATTAACATTCTAAACTTCCATTCTAAAATGGATATTGTTACCCCTAATCTATATAATTGCAACGCTTAAATCATTTGTGATTTTATATTATACAATTAACCCCATAAATTTACATTTTTGAAATAAACAATACATGATAATGGTGCAGAAATAACTTTTTATATAAAGTTTTGGTTATTTAAATTACATATGCAAGTTTGGGGTGCTTATCTCACACCCCTTCAAAGTTTGGGGTATTTTTTATTATGTTTCCTGACTTTAAACCATTATTACTTTATTTTTACTTTATCACTTCAATATCAACCACATAAACTTACTTTTGTTAATAACCATGTCACTTCTTTATGTTCCAATGTTAGTGGGACAGAGGTAGTATTATTTTTTCATTTTTCTTGTAAAAAGTAAAAACTAAATACAAGGTTCTCAGCTCACAACCTTACTTTTAAATCTAGTGAATTATACTCCGTACTCGGTATTAGCTAAGCAAGGAGATGTTCATTTTAGTCATCAAAACTGTACCACCTCATTTCCTTTAATGCTTGTCTTGTCTTACTTGATACAAACGTAAATAATTGATAGAGCATCTTGGCCAAAAAAAGAATGGCCCCATCCTCAAAATTCAAAAAAAAAAAAATGTATACGTTCATAAGTGGGTACTATCCCACAATCAAATTGGACAATAGCTTCCCAAGCCATCCAACAAAACCAGTTACATTATACTAATATAATATACATAGTAATATAATACTCCATATACTCCGTATTATTTAGAAATCGAATAGTATCAAAGAACGAAAATTGGTACAGAACGAGACAAGTTTTAAAAATAGTCATATTTTTGTCTCGGGAAAAATAATTAAAACATCCAAAACTTTGAAGGGTGTAACATAAGTACCCAAACTTGCACATGTAATATATATAGGGGTGGGCATGGGTCGGGACGGTTCGGGATTAGGGTTATCCCGGTCCCGTCCCAATTAATAATAACGGGACGGGACGGTGCGGGAAAAGCCTTTGTCCTAGTATTGTCCAATTTAAATCGGGACGGTCCGAGACGTCCCAAACTAACAAAAAATAATCATTTGTAATTAATATATATTTATATTTCTAAAGTATCATGCACCAAAATATTAACATTTTAAAAGTTAATTGATGTTCATCACAAGCTAAAAGCTACTACGTATTAGATTTTAGTTACGTTTTGCAAAATTTGAAATTTAAATTTAAAACAAAGAAAAAATGAATTAGTTTATTCAAAATCATGTGTTCTAGTTGTGAGATACTAGTATGTAGATATATAAAGTGAGATAAAAACCTATGTTAGTAAATATTGATGTTAGGTATTAATTTTAATTTAAAAATTGGGCTTGAAAAACTAAAAACATGTTATCATTTATTTTTTGAGTTGACAGTACAAACTAGTCACATGCTACAAAATCTATATAGTTATTACAAACGGGACAACGGGACGGTTCGGAATAACCTTCCAACGGGACGGTACGGGACCGGTGCGGGACAAAATCAATGAGACCCAAACGGAACGGGACGACACCGGTACGGTTTCGGGATATACCGGAATGGGACAACGGGACCGGGATTCTTGCCCGCCCCTAAATATATATACCCCCAACTTTATATAAAAGTTGTGTTAGCAACATGATCATATATTTTTTCAGAAATGTAATCTTATGGTGTTAAGTATATGATTTAAAATGCATTAAACATTTTATAGGGCTCAATATAATAGTAGCACCGAGATATTGTAATGTTTCTAACTTTCAAATTTCGTACAGAACGGGACATGTGGAAAAATTATCATGTTCTTAACTTTCAAAATTCGTATTACTATCTACTAATTCTGTCCCCCTATTATTGTCCCATTGTGGTTTACAATGACCGATGATAAAGCAAACGAAACCATGTCCGTACTTAAATTATTTTAAGAAGAAAAAAATTTACATATTCACAAATTACATTACCAAAATCAGATTTGATAAAAATTTGATATATAAAATAAGAGATTTATAGCGATATGTGTTGACCAAGTGAATAGAATCTTGTACAATAATAGGGGGAAGGAGGGAGTATTATTTTTTCATTTTTTCCTTGTAAGAACAAGGTAATACGCTCACAAACTCACCAAAATTGTACCGGCCCTTTATCTTTAAATAATGGTCTTGTCTTACCTTGACACATACGGATAATGATTGATACATGAAGCATCTTGAGCTAGATAAGAATGGCCCAGTGATTCAATGGTTGAAGAGTTCTTTATTTCCAAAGTTCACTAGACCTAGTAAACTTGAAAGGAATATGCATGATTTTCTTTTGACACTGAGGAACATGTTTCAAAAGTAAATGTTTGAAATTGTTTTATTTTCAAAGATTAAAGCATGTGATCAAGTATCAATATAATAATAGCACCGCAGCAACTATCCATAAAAAATGGAGTATGTAATTAATTGATTCGTCTTAAAACAATATAGTTAAGCTTCTCAAACATATACTAGCGGGATTCGACAGCCCTGTAAAGCTTAGCCTGCCCATTTTCGTATAACTGGCAAGGTATACGTTATCTTTGTCGCAATCTTCAAGCATACCAGTCCTCACAGTCGAACGGGTTAGCATGAAGGGTGAGTATTTTCTTTGTTTTCAAGCATATATGAATGAGTAGAACATCAAACCACACTTCGATTGCTTCGGTTTGTATTTATTTTGGTTTCAGTTTTTTCAGTTTTTTATAGTTAAAATTGACATTTGATTTAAACTGATAGGATAGTGGGAGAATCAAATGTATACCATATTTATTTGTAATATTACATGTTACATAAAAAAAAAAGCAAGCATTGTTTATGACTAGCTTGAAAAAAATCATGAGTATTATATAGTTGAGATGAATATTTATTTGTTTTATCAATAAAAAACTTTAGGTTATACGAAGTATAAAAATAAAAGTTAATTACATCTATAATCAGTAAAAATGTATCATCATCATGCAATGAATTGCAACATACACACATAAAGACATAATAAATCAATATAGTTACGTTAGTATTAGTAATGACTGTATAAATACAATTTCGGATTATAATGCCTAACAATAAAAGAAAATAAAATTTGATATTTTAAGTAGTTCGATTTATTCGGTTCGGTTCAGCTTTGAAGGGTAATAACCAAAACCGAACCAACTAACTATGTTATTCTCTACATTTAAGTTGAAATTACTCATTCTAAAAATGTAGTTACTTTAGCGTCACTTAAACTATTTAAACCGTCAACTATTTATTAATAATAATTATAAAATAAAAAATGCCATTTTCTGATATAAAAAATCAAAATTTGTATAGATTATTGGAGATGCCTTTACAACCACACATGACACAACTCTATTACTCTGTTTTTCTCATTGATTTCACATTGTCTCCTAATGTTTATACTGTTGGATTGGCTCAAATTAAATGTTTAACATTCCTTTTGATACAAATAATGTAATTTATATCATTACACTTTATTCTACTAAAATTTCATTCTTAATTTTAAAGTTTTCAAACATTTTATTAATAATTGTGTGAAATCAGTAAAAGTAAAATGGATAAATAGTGCTATGTGGCTAAAACATTCACGGATGGACTCATGGACAGAATGCTTTTTACAATGCCAAAAGTATACCAATTGAATTTTTGTAGACAAGGTCAATTATTTGCTGCTATATGGCCTAATGGCCTGGTGGTTGGCCACTTCGACATACGGTCACATACACATGCTCTGCACCTCTTTCAACATGTGACTACAAGAGTAGAATACTTGAATGGACCCCTTTGTTTTAAATGACAACTTTTTGGTTGTCTTGATAAAGACAAACTTGTAATAATTTTTTTTCTCAATGCCTAAATAGACATAAATCTAAAATAAAGTTATTTCTATGCCTAAAAATAAAAAATTATGTCTCCTTAATATAAACAATTACAAAGGAAGACAACATGAACTTAATATAAGAGAGAAATTTTATTTTGAAAGTAATAAATGAGATTAATTAAAAACTACGGAGTGATGTTTTGTGATTTGTCTTAAATTAACTCAAAAAAACTTTCAAAGTACCCATTATTACAATCCAAATGGCATTGAGAAATGAGAAGTACAAATTAAAACTAAAACAGGCTAGGTAAAATTTATTACATTGTTATTGAATACTAATATCAGAATAGTAGAATACAATATTAGGAAAATCAAAACTACCTCAACCTCAAATGGCTTGGGAGTCATCCAAAATCAATTACAAAGGTAACAATTACTACATTACCAACACCTCTCCATATCCGCATTTATTTGTTCTTTCATTTTCCACCTTGTATAGTCAAGGAAGATGGCCATGTGTATCACCTACATGTAGTAAACATATTAACCATAAAATAATAATTTTAATATAAGAGTTATCAGATAATCATAACAACGTAGTAAAAATAGTGCACAATAAAGATTGCAGCAAAAACAGAAACAACAAAACCAGATTATGCATACACACAATAACTAGGAAAAATCAGGGAAATAAAAAAATTAAACTAGTAATTAAGAAAAATAATAAAAGCAATGAGAATTACAACAACAAGGCCTCTGTATAACTCTATTTAACCAAAGAAGCAAGAAAAACTCAGGGGTTGAAAGAGGGGTGCAGGGTTAAATGAGAAATATAAAAAATAGGAAAAGGTCTTGTGGTTGAATGCTGCCTTGCATACAATCTAGTAAAAGACATGACCTTCTCAAACAAGTTAATAGAACAGACGCACAACTTGAGTCTTTAAGGGACTTTTTCAATAATAAAAAATTAAAAGTTACCAGCTTTGGCATTCTAAACATAGCCACAATACATACTTGTTTGAGCAGCATTTTTAATGACTCCTTCGAGCAAAGCCTTCCAAGAAGTTCCACCACTATCGTTGGGCACTTGACTAACTTCTGTGAACTACATAACAATAGTTAAAGGCAAAAAAATACATTGCATTACATATCACCCTTACTTTTTTTTTTTGACTAAAATAGCACCATAACTTTTTATACAACTCATACCTGTTGATACTGAACCATTTGCGGAAGTAATGGAATATTTGGATGTAAAATAGGTGCCCCATATGGATTGGTAGAGGGCATCCAATAATTGTATGACTGAGGACAACTAGCTTGAAAAAGATGCGTTGGAGATAACAAAGAATATTGTTGCATAGTCCTAGGCAAACGTTCACTTGAAAGGCTTGATGGGTGATCAATTATTATTCCACTCTTCTGAAAGGTGCCATTAGTATTCAAATCCAACTGCTGCATTAACATCAACCAACATCAACAACATTATATATAATAATACATCACTAATATAACTCATTATTTAACTCGTTGACCTTGGTTCTCTCATTTACATGAACCTTTGATAAACTTTTTGTAGATTCACATTTCTTGATTTTTTTACCCTGCAATAAAATAAAAAATATAATTAGAATAGTTTAGAAGTCTCACCCTATTTCCTACAAGCATTAATTCAAAAGACGATTACATGAGATCTCTTCTTTCCACTAACTGTGAAGTTAGGACAACCACCATTATCCTTACTCCCAACACCATCAATTTCATCACATTTATACATCTCACTACTACAATTCGTTTTGTTCGTGTGATTGTCTTCATGTAGAAAGGTTCCTTTGCCCTACAATATTATAAACATAACTTGTACACACATGCCATACTAAAATATATATATATATACATATATATATATAAAAGTATGATAGCATATGTAAATATACGGAAATTAATAAACTAACATGACATCTTTGGTTGTCGTCCAAAGATATAACATCATCATTTTGAGTGCCATTGTTATCGCAAGTTATCCTTGGGCATGTTGTTATTACATGTCCTGCGCGGTTACAGTTCGAACAACGCCTCCTTTTACCTCCTATTTTTTTCTTTACTGGGGCACCTTTTGTCTTCACAACAGTAGGATCACCAATATCTTCAACAAATGATGCATGACTACTCCCTTGATCATCAAGCTTCTCTAACTTATGAGTGAGTCTAAGTATCTCATCTCTAACTTCATCAAAGTATTCAGTCTTTTTGGCGGCAATTTTACACAGTCTATTACAAGAAGCCGCTAAAGCACCAAAACGAGCAAATATCATAACATCAACATCTACTTCATCTGATGACATTGCAGAGATTATATCAGTCTTACTCGTCTTAGTCCACCTTCCACATATCAAGCTACTAGGAAAGTTCTGAATGTTCTCAGTTTTCAGAACACATATAATATGAGAGCAAGGAATGCCGCGGGATTCATAAAGATGACAAGCACATGAAAATTTAGAATTTGATCTATCAAAATCAACTTTAACTAAACTTTCAGGATGACCATATCTGCTTAGGTGAAGAGTCAATTCATCTCCATTTTCTATTCGACCCACAACATTTAATGCACAACCAAGTTCAATCTCTTTCTTAACTTCTGTAAACATTTCCAGTGTATATATATTAGCAGCCTGGCGCTCAAGGTGCTTCAAAGAGCTCGTCATTACTGGTTCTGAGAAATTGGACTTAAAATCAGCAATCAACTCATTATTTCGGTACTCCCGTAGCAGCTGTTCAAAATTATGAATAAATTCATAAAGGGTATTTTTTTTTCTTACATAAGATCTAATTAAAGAATTTATTGCTTCACACTGAGATGTAGTCCGGATGCGTCCAAAAAATGTATCACGCAGATACGCAGTAGCCCATAATAACTTGTTGTCATAGGTTTTCGAAACCCATGTGTTACCTTCAACCCCATGCTCAACTATAATTTTCTGCCAAAAATCTTCAAACTCTTCGGGGGTGAAATTAGAATACATTGCTTTCTTAAAATCATCCAAAAATGGTGAGTTTTTTACATTCTCACATGCATTTTTATTCAAGTGCCACGCACACAAGCGATGAGTAGAATGTGGAAAAACTAATTTAATAGCCTCTCTCATAGCAACATCACCATCAGTAACCACTGATATGGGATGTTTCTTGTGCATTGCTTCCAAAAAAGCTTCCAAGACCCATTTATATGTCTCAAATGTTTCATCTGACACCAAAGCACAACCAAATATAACAGTTTGAGAATGGTGGTTACATCCTGAGAAAATAACCAATGGATAGTTATATTTGTTTTTCTTGTACGTGGTGTCAAATGCAAGAACATCACCAAAGCACTGAAAGTCTACTATGCTTTGTCCATCTGCCCAAAATAAATGTTTCAGTTTTCCATCAGTTGTAGTAGAATACTTACAAAACATTATGGGGTCATTGTCAGCTTTGCCTTGAATGTAGCTAAGAGCAGCTCGTGCATCCCCATCTTGAATCTTAACACGCTTCTGTCTGTCAAGATAGTTATATAGATCCTTTTTTGAAAACCCAATCCCACTATACCCTCCTTTTTGAGCCAACATATATCCCATAATGTGACATGTCCGAACACCCTGCATATGTAAGACATCAATTTGGGCTTTGTCTGCATCATTCATGGCACGATAAGTGGGAAACAGGTGGACATACGTAGAAGGAGTTAAAAAATGATTATGTTGCTCCACAAAAGAACTCACGATCCATTTTGATTTTTTTCTATCGAAGCGCACACGGAACTTAGCTTCGCAATTCGTGCGTGTGATTGGTGCATGTGGTTTTTTCCTGTCTACCTTCTCCAAGTATTTTTTTTGCCTCAATCCAGCTCTATTGCATACTAATTGTTGCATTGTAATATTGTTGTTCCTGTCTCGAGCGAGATTATGTTTCCTCGCAACAAACCCCTTACATCTTGCATATGTTTGAAAAAATTTGCAAGCTTCATGTCGAGTATCGAATTCCAAATCTCGAATCTCACTAGATGATATGTCATATATTCTTCTAAAGTGATGATCTGGTAATTGATTGTTGTCTTCATTCTCAATACCTGGCTGATTTTCATCATCGGTACTAATCTCGCAATCGCTATCATCGTTGTCAGATATAACATCTTTCTCGTCAGCCAAAATATCATCTTGATCATGACCAAATTCCTCACAAACAAACTTCTCCATCTATATTACAGTCATTTACAATAAACAATAACAAATAAAGTTATAGTTTTACAAATGTAAAAAATTGGGAGAAAGAGATTACATCAATATACTAATTACAATACTGCTAAGGATGACTTGACTAATCTATTCTATATATAAAAATGGAAAAGTCTAAAGCCATTTAGGCGGGATGTGGACTATTTTTTGCAAGTAATTACTTGCTAGATCACTTAATCGATTGTGCAATTAATTACTTCTACATTAATTTAGCCGCTCATTTTGAATTAGCTTTTGCCGGACCACTTAAACGGTGGCACTTTAGCTTTTGGGGAGTGGAACCATTTTTTGATAATATTAAGAAAACAATTACTACGTATTAATTAACTTTAATTTAAATATTGGAGAAACTAATAATAGAAGTCTGCAGCATTGAAAATTGTAAATTGATGCTTGAGCTTCTCCACTCTCCAGACTTCTTAATTATCAATAGATTGTATGACTACATAAGAGTGTTGTTCGTGTAGTAAGGGTTTATTACAGAGTAAATTCCTTAGCAGTCATCAATAGGCATATCTTCACCTATTACATAAGAATAATTAGCACATCTCCAAAATTTATACTCATTTATGCAAGTGGGATGAGGTAATAACAACTTTTATTAATATACTACTAATAATGTATAAAAAGATAGTAATTCTATTTTTTTAAAGGTGAATCAACAATGCTAAGAAATTCATTACCCTTGATTTGGAAATTCAACTTGCACCGTTTTATCAGTTTGTTTGATAGAAATTTGCAAAACTGTTATTTTCATGATGTCCACCAGAAAAACTAGATACCGAACTAGCAAATGTTTTGTGCTGGGACTTTGCTAATAATAAACGTAGGAGTAACAAATCAATCTAAAAAGTAGAAAACCTATGAAAGTTCATACAAGTAGGAATAACAATTCAAGAAGACAATTCACTTAATCGCAAGTTCATTTAATCACTTATAAAATTACAAATTGGGATCATACTGTGGTCATATGGTATACCAATTCATGAAAAATTGAGACAATATGGCAATAAGGCACATACAAAATTAGTAGTGTGAGACGAATATGGAGTACCTCAATACATGCCATCTTTGTCAATTCTTGAGCTGGGAGTCCAATTGTCCAAAGTAGAAGGCGATGATAGATGACTAAGTTGGGCAGTCACCTTGGGGTAAAGGGTGGAGCCAAGTTGACAGGAGCCGAGATCCCAAGGAGGCTGGGAACTTTGCCGCTACAAGCAAAGTAATAATAATGACTGGTGCATAAAACTAATCCTACACTGAAATTTATTTGTAAAGGAGTGCATATAATGTTTGACAGAGATATCTATAATTACTTGTTTTTTAAATTAGCAGAATTTAATCAATCTCCAAAAAAATAAATAAAACCGGTGGCAGGTCTACGAACGCAAGAGGGGGGCTCTTGCATAGCTAGTGTAGGAAACCTTGTGCCTAGCCGCAATTAACATCAATAAATCTGGGAACGAAAGAACTGCTTTCAGATTGCACAAAATACATAACTCAATGCAAAGAGGGTGAAAGTTCACTCTCTTCAATAGAAGCACAAGACAAACAAGTTTTCTTGAGTTTCCATCTTGTTATGCATTCATGTTTTATAAAAAAAAAAAAATTACTATATGTGTGTTTTCTGAGTTACCACTCATGATAACACGTTAATTATTATGATTAGATATGTATATTTCCAAAACTGCCAAAATCTTTAAACCTTAAGGCTTTAACAGAATGGAGAAAACATGATGGTAATAAGTAACTCATCATTGTCTACTTTTACTTTAAATTCCAACATTCTAAACATTACTATGAATAAAAATAGGAGTAACAAATCAATCTAAAAAGTAAAAACTTATGAAAGATCATAAAAGTGAAAGTAACATTGCATGAAGACAATTAATTTGAAAGTTCAACATTCTAAACTTTACTAAATCGCAAGTTAATTTAGTCACATATAAAATTGCATCACGTTTTTTTTTTAATTATAAGACCTCTCTTTTGTACTGGTGAGTATAAAGTTTACAAAATATCATGGACTTTGTTAATTTGACATAACTCAAAATTAAACTATTTATATATTGTGTTCACAAATTGTAAATAAAAACTAAAAGTAATTCATAAAATCATACAATAAACCAAGAGTGTGTATATTTATTGAAAATGATTGAAAACTATTTTGTTTAGGTTTGAAAAGTAATGCATAAAAGTTATACAAACCTAATTTGTTGCTTGAGAGGGAGCAGCTAAGGTTCACAAGAGAATGCGGCATGTCCTCTTTTTTTTGTTATGAACCCTTCTCTCTATTATGCACCATTTGATCCTTGGAAAAATAGTGCTCCTTAGTCGTTATACTCATGTTTAATGATGAATAACCTATTGTGGAATATGCCTGGTATCTCTTCTTAGTTTCGGAAACAACACTCAATCTCTAGGATCTGGAAAGCTGATTTGGTCAGCCTTATATAACCTATAATTTCTGAGTCCAAAGGTATTTAAATTATGAACACCTTAATTATTTCTAATCTTTTTCCCTCTAAGAATTAGGATATGAATCATGTGGAGGTAAACCAGTTTTGATGTAAGAAATATTGTTGATGGGTAACACTTTCTAGTGGCTAAGGTTAAACAAACTTCATCAGACTTTAGTTATGATCTCTCACAATTATGTGCTAAGCAAACTAGAATTGAAAGACACAATTATGGGGTGGGACAAAGCAATATAGTACAACTCTAGAGGCTTAATTGGTTAGATTGACGAGAGTTTAATAACATTCCACATCTTTATGATTAGAATGCACATTCAGACCAAGTATTGGCAGTACCTGAATTAATAATTGCAATCAGACTTCCAGCCAGAAATGAATACACGATGCAGGAACTTGCAAGTTGCAACAAATAGCTACTGAAATGATGTGTTGTTATTAATTTATAAGGCTGGAATTATAAAAAATAAACACAGTAATATAAGAAATTACTCTGTATGATAAAATTCTGATAAAAGTCATGATAAAAACAGGGCCGGCTCTAGCGTTTTGGAGGCCCTAGGCGGAAAATTTTAACATTCATACTAGTATATCATATTTCTATAACAGAGTCATTAGAAAATAAGATAAATGTAACATATATAAAATGCTCTAAAAAGTGTACTTCTAAATAGGGAGTTCACCTTGCGTTTTGAAGTGCAAAACTAATAAAATGCTCCAAAAAGTGTACTTATAAATAGGTAGTTCCCGTTTCTTTTTGAAGTGCAAAACTAGTAGGACCGTCACTCCAATCAAAACTAACTAATACTTTATCTCAATCGATAACATAGCTAATCCACATTTTAGCATATTTATACATATAGTTAATAAAAAATGATCATCAGCAAATAAAAATTAACTATTGCAGTTAATGATTATAAAATATTAGTCACCAACTAACTAAATGATTAATATGAATACAAATGTAAAATATTAGTGCACAACGGTTAACAGTAATTATTGAATAATGATCATTACATACTTAAAAGCATTATTAATTGGAAAAGGGCAAATAATGAAAAAATAAAATCCGAACAACAATATAGTTTACCTATTGGCAACACCATTACACATTTACACACACCGCATTGTGCTACTATCAAATTTGCTCAATTCTCATACCCAGGTTCAAATTCTGAAACTCAATCTATGATGGTCCTTGATGGCCGGAGGAATTAACTAATTAAGAAAAGAGGGAAAGAATAAAAGGAACGAATTGTTGAATTGACTTAACATTCAATCGGAGAATCGAGTACCGAACAATAGGAAAATCCAAATCCTTACGGAGTACTACTTTATATTACTTGGTATATTGAAAATTGAGGCTCTAGATAACAAGATTTGGCCATCCAATTGCCTAGGCTAACTGGTCTTATGGCCGGCACTGGATAAAAAGATTGTAAACACAGCAATACAAGTACAAAAGTCTACTTGATTAAGATTACCCAAGAAAATTAAAAACAGAACGAAGGCATATTGGCAATATCATACCTTAGCTAATAGCTAGCCTTCTCTGTTTCTCCTGCTACTTTCTTATCTGACCCACGTGTAGCAATCAAACCATTCTTATCACTATTGATTGTTCAAAGTATCACTACATGTCTTGTTTTCCATTTTGTTTTCTACTTTATTCCGAATTGACCGAAAATTTTAATTTTGTGTAACAACATATCTACTCAAATCAAGAAAACTAGCAGATCAAGGACTCATCATAATCAGGAGGGAGTTGACAAAACTTATGGGATTTCTCTAGACTTTATGTCTAATTAACCAAATGTTAAATGTGAAGGGGAAAAAAAGTGATATGCTCAAAATTGCAACAGGGGATGGAGATTGAAGACATTCAATTGGCAATCGTTTATAGATGAATTTATGAAAATACCTGAAAATCAAGAATAATGCACCAGCGGCTGATCGTTATGTGTACTACGATTGCCGGTTGCCGGCGACAAAAGGGGATCAATGAAGCCTCTGGAATGGCGGAGAAACGAGCAATGAATCGATGAAGTCTTCTTGGAAATCGATCGATCAAGCTCGATGGAAAATTGGAGATGCCGTCAGCCTACTGAAATTGGGGATGCTGCACCAGGAAAGAGAGCATGGCGGTCGACGAGTGAGAGAGGCTATGTGAGCCCCTTTTGATTGTTGATTTGAGTGTCGATACAGCCATGAGTGTGTGGGTTGAGCAACATAGTTGATTGTTCAATGGAGAAGAAGATGCAGGTGAGACCCCTAGCAGATCAAGGACTGTTTGTTTGGTTGAGAAAAATCGATCGGTTCGTACTCCGTATTTCCCAAGAGGAGAGCGGACTGTTTGTTTGGTTGAGAACTCTCGATCCAGACTTGACGGCCGTAGGTTAACGCCAGAGGCTTGGAGTTAGAAGGACTGCTGGTGCAATTTTATTAAATATGTGAGTGTTTGACTATATGACCAGGACACATGGCCATATTTGCACACATGTCAGCCTCTGGAAAGTGGTGCATTGGTGCCCTCTAAAATAGGGTGGCATCAGAGAAAAACCCCTTATAATTTGGTATCCAACTGCAGATCAAATACTCTCATAACTTCTCTATATATACACACACGTATACATACCAATTCCCATATATCTCACCGTCCATTCCAATTCCCATTCCAATCCGATGACTCTTAATAAGTATTATTTGAAATATATTTTTCAGGCGGCATTCTTTCTTGTCCTGTCACTGTCACTGTCGTGGAGATGCAGAGCCGCTCCGGACGCCGCCGTCCCTGCTCCGGCCGCCGCCGTCCCTGCTCCGGCCGCCGCCGTCTCTGCTCCGGTCGCCGCCCCTGCTGAGGAAGCCGAATTCCCCGTAGAAAAGCTTTTTGAGGAGTGGATGGTCCTTCATGGGCGTTCCTATAAAGACGAGGCGGAGAAGGCGAAACGATTCGAGAACTTCAAGAAAACCAAAGAGTACGTTGATGCCTTCAATAAACGCGGGAATGAAACTTATACGCTTGGCCTCAATGGATTTTCTGACATGACCGTCGAGGAGTTCACGGACAAATACTTGCGGAGAACAACCCACTGCGGCCGCCCCGCCCCGCCGCGATCCAACATCCGGCCGTCTCCGCCGGCACCGGATACGGCCCGCGCTTCTAGCTAACCGTCATCGTCGTCCCTTCCGTTCCCTATTGGATTCTGACCAATTCGAGTATTCCATTTATGGAATTGTTATGCGGGCGTCCTAGATTTTTACACTTCATATTGTTATTGTTCAATTCTTAGAGTGCACCGTAACTTTTTATTTATTTTTTCGGAAATTGTCCTAAATAGGACTAATGAGTTCCTAAAAAGCACAAATATGACTACTACTTTTTAAATTCCCTAAATAGGACTAAACATAGATTTTCTACCCTAAATACCCTAAGAGTATTAATTCATAATGAAATGCTTTAATTCATAATAAAATCATAAAAAAACGTAAAAAATATTTAAAAAACGTAAAAAAATTATAAAAAATTTATAAAACATTTATAAAATAAAAAATTTAATTTTTATTTTTTTAATTTTTTTTTTAAAAATAATAAAAAATAGTAAAAACCCATAAAAAAATGAAAAAAATTATGGATACATTTCCCACCGCCATCCGCCGCCTCCCAACACCACCACCTCCGATTGGTGAAATTTCTTCCACTTTTGGTAAAAACATGCCATCTTTTTCTGAAAATGCCAAAAAGATGGCATAATTACTCTTCAATATGCCAACATTTTCATTGAATATGCCATCATTATGGCATTATTTAAAATGTTGACATATTTTTCTCCGGTGATGGGAGCCGGTGGTGCTGGGGGTGGCAGGGGTGGTAATGTTTTTTTTTAATTTTACGATTTTTTTATTTTTTTAATTTTTTTTAAAAAAATATTTTTTTTTTAATTTTTTTAAAAAATATTTTTATTAATTTTCTATTATCTTTTTACGATTTTTAGTATTTTGTTCGATTTTTATTATTTTTGTATGATTTTATTATTAATTAAAACATTTCACAAGTTACAAGGGTATATTTGGCCAAACACACATAAATAGTCCTATTAAGGGAATTTAAAAAATGTAGTCCAATTTGTGCAATTTTGCCACTTTTTAGTCCTATTTAGGGAATTGACTCTTATTTTTTATATGCAGTTTTTTTAATTGAGAATTCTCCATATATATCTATGTCTATATAGAATACGTTTGAAAGATACATTTATGAAAAATGTTGCCATGTGTCATCTTCATTCTTTCTTATTTTTAATGTTGCCATGAAATACGTAGTATTTTTTTAAAGTTGGGGGTCCCAAATCAGAAGAAGGTAGAAGTTATATATTTGGGACCCCCAACTTTAAAAAAATACTACGTATTTTTTAAAATTGCTATAACTTTTTATATATATAATTTGATTTTTACCAAAAATTTATATTTTTAAAAACCATATAATTATGGTGAATAATAAAATTTTTGTATAGAGTTTAAGTCATATATATTGCATATGCAAGTTTGAGGTATTTACTTACACCCCTTCAAAGTTTGATATATTTATTTTTTTCCCTTTATCTTGAGTGATAGCTTAGAATAAAAGCACACAAACTACATCACTTTTATTTATTTATTTTTCTTTGTGCTAGAATTTGTGATGTTTTTTCTAAGCTGTCACTTTGGATTAATAATGTGCATGGTAAAAAAAATTATAAATTGCACAAAATAGTAAAATTAATTTTACGTGTATACATCATTAGTGTCATGTGAAAGATAATAAAAAGTTATGAATTTTTATATAATTTTTTGTAACAATCGGAGTACAAATAAAAAAGTTATACTATCGTATCATTTTTTAAACAAATTTATTGGTTGAAGGTGTTGTAAAAGATCATTTTAGCTTTTTTCATATAACGTTTTCTTTATTTTATAAATGAAATATATTTTAAATATAATTTTGATGAGTGCCCTTGATACCAACTGTGAGTTCCAAGTGAGGTAAAAGTCTAGAGGGGGGTGAATAGACTTTTAAATCTTTTCGTTCTTTTCCCCTTATTCTCTAACTGGATATGTTCCAACATCTTTTGAGAGATATTGAAACATGTAACGGAAGTCTTGACCTCAAGAGGATGACACTATATAGAGAAAAATGTTATGACCCTTTTAGTTTAGAGAGAGATGGCTTAAACATTGTACAAATGTGTTTTGTCAGTAGAGAAAAGGGACAAATAAGGCCACATACTAATAAAAAAAGGTCAAATAAGGCTTTATTTAAAAGGTTTTGTCCGGCCGTCGGCATTTGGGGTGGTTCCCGGTGGAATTTTTTAATGAATTTTTTTAGCATCTTATTGATTAAATCTAGTTTACTCATACCAAATTTCAGCTAAAAATTCAATCGGGAAAGCGTTCAAATGAATTCTTGAAGATAACTGCGCTTTTAACTTCGCAGTTATCTTCAAGAATTCATTTGAATGCCTTCCCAATTGAAGTTTTAGCTGAAATTTGGTATGCGTAAACTAGACTTAATGAATAAGATGCTCAAAAAAATTCATCAAAAAATTCCACCGGGAACCACCCCAAATGGTGACGGCCGGGCAGAGCCTCCTAAATAAGGCCTTATTTGACCTTTTTGGTTAGTACGTGGCCTTATTTGCTCCTTTTCCCTTTGTCAGTAACATAAACCTTTGGGAGCAGGCTGCCGAAACCTGAAGGGGATGGCTGCCAGAATTGGGAGCTGACTGCCAATCCTTAGGAGCAAGATGTCAACAATGTTTCTATTTATTTTAGTTAAAGTACAACAATGAACTTTACTCTAACAACTCGATTGACTTTAGAACTAGTCTTACACAAGTGTATGAAGGATTTAGACCAATGGAGATAGGTCACTTTGAAGAACAGATAACAAGGAGATGACTCACAGTGAACTGGGAAAGTTCACTGGACACTTTTAGTGAGCAAGCTGTTTTACTTTTGCTGTTCTGAAGGTGAGTGAGAACTGAAATAAGTGTTAGGTGCAGAATGTAAAGGTGACACGCGGTGTATCCTGGTTCAGGGGTGGTGTAATCCCCCTACATCCAGTCCCAACCTATTTCTGATGGATTTTCACTAAAAGTATATCCCATTACATTTAGTACCCAATCTACCCTTGGCCCAGGCGTAGATTGTGAGGTTTTTCACGAGGAATTAGAACACCATTCCATGCTACTCATGTCCTCCCAATGTTTTTCACTAATGGTATTGACTCGCCAAAAGTTACTCATGTCCTTGCCCTTTCTCACCTTCTGGATTTGATCACCAAGCCCTCCAGAATGTCTAACACTAGACTAGATTACATGGGTGTAAATCTATACTACAAACTAGTCTAAGCTCTATTGATTTGTATGAGTCATAACTATTCTAAGAGCATTAGACGAGTGGGGTGGCGGCCTAAGTGGAGAAGGAAATCAGCTAGCTGGATTTGAGCGTGTAGAGTATGATTTCCTTCTAACCACTTGACTACTTTTTTTTCTCCACTCAGTTACTACTTTGTCTTGACCACACTTGGTAACTCCGCACTCCTTCTGTATTTATAGACTTGATCACTTCATCTTCACCGTTGGCTGAGAAAATGAATCTTGACCGTAGATTGATCTGATCTACTTGCTTTGTTCCATTTAACTGAGGCATCATGGTTTCTTCTTGTCACGTAGTGACACGGATCAACTATCTTCAGCTCAACTTGTTTACACATTTCAATGCAAGATAAAAGATATTTCATCTTTTATTTTCCTACGTAGAAACTAATATAAAGCTGAGTGATATTTCAATGCTTCTTTACAACGAATGGACACTTGCTTTTGTAAGATAAATTTATAAGAAATTTATGTGTGATAAAAATCTCTTATAAATTTACTTTTTAACAATTTGTTCTATTGTCTGCAAGTTGGTCTTTTGTATAAGTGTTTTGTGCCAAGAGAAGAGAGAATTGGATTTTGGATGAGTTAACTGAAAAACTCACCTTTCAGCTCGCTGCCAAGCATTTCAGCTGGTTGCCCACAAAATCAGCTAACTGCTGATTTCTAGAGTTTTCCAGTTAGCTCGTTCCTAACTTTGAGTACCGGTTAACTTTTTTCGTACCTTTTCTTCCTTTTTGGTCTTTTTCTTTCTTCTGTTTATGGTACGTTTAACTTCTCTTTTTAGTGCTCTTTGCTTTTTATGAGTACTTTACCACTAAATATGGAGCACATTACAATTACACAAAGTAGAACAAAGTAGTAGACTAGTCTAATACAGGAATAATAAAAAGGGGTGACATCATAAAAACTATTACATTATACATCAAAATCTAGGGGACCTAACAATTTCCCCCTTTCTGATGATGCCAAAAACTAGAAT